TCATCTTTTTCGGCCTCCTTTCTCTTGTTAGCCAACTCTCCAAAAACAGCATCCGGGACCTCCTTCTGTGCAATTTGAATTTCAACCCTTTCGTCGTCTTCTGAATCATTTTCTTCTGGTAGCTCAATGTCTTCAGGATTTGAGGTAACTTTGATCCCTCCGTCAGTCTGTTGAATTGCTCCAGCACTCACAAAGCCTATTCTACTATCTTTAGTGGTTGTATCGTTGGCCACAGGTGCCAACTGCCTCTCTAGAGCAGCCATTTCATCTTCGGGGACTCCTGCCTGTTTCAACTTGTCTTTTGCCTCGTCCATGTTCAGCCTCTGATCCTTTTGCATCATGTACTCAGGTAGAATAAAGTGCGTCTGGTAGAACGATAAAAATGAGAATTAAACGAAGCAATTCAGGAACCCTTTCTCTGAGACCCTAATAAAACATTTACCTAAATTGCTGGAGAAAAAAAAAATTGAAAGTAATAAACATTTTAGATAAAACCAGATATAGAACTAATGAACTTACCTGGCTATAGCTTGCAGAAACACTTCGTTTAATTCGAAGCATCTCCCGGAAGGTATCTTCATTTCCGTGTTGCACTTCAAACTCATGCCATTTGCTCCAGAAATCCACATCAGATCGTGGATCTGAAAACTGTGACGCAAATGTATACACTCCCCGAGCACGATCAATTTCTCCCAAGCTCTTCTCAAGCTCAGCAAACTTTAAACACATTGTCTTCACATCTTTGTCCGGAAGACCAGAATCTATGGCCTGCTGGTATATATCCCTTGTTTTTGGGACGCCAAATATCTCTGTGGCACGGGCAATATAGATTTCATACATGCCCAGTTTCTCATGGTTTGGAACAGCCTTAGTTGCTTCATCATAGACTTTCATCGCTCGCTTTGATAGGCCATAATCCTCCTCCAGCTTTGCATATTGAAGATACAAAGGTTTCTTCGCATCAGCAGGGGCCTGATATACCATGTTAAGGTTAGTATCAGATAAAATAATAACATAAAAGGGCAACATTCTAGCATATTGAAGAACTCAAACCTGAAATGATTTCAAAAAATAGAAAGTCCACACAAATTCTAATACACACAGAGTGGGTGATAAGCAGAACACCAGTAAACTAGAAGGGGAACTATTGAAACGAAAAACATATAGGCTCTGTGCAATCAACTGTGAGAAACTTTGGACAGCTGGACCAAGAGAACGTCCTTGCACACTTCAATAGCAAATTGGCTTATAATATTCATGTGATTATTCCATTCACTCGATGACAGAGTGCACATATATAATCACAGTAAGTATGAAGACACCAAGATGAAGCCCCCATATATAAAGGTACATGTATATGTCTATGTATAAATTAACATAAAAATTAAAATAAAAATAAAAACCTTAACTATAAGCCAATAGTTTGTCGACTTTCACTTTATACATGGATAGTATGACTGTGACACAAGAATGATATGATAAGACAGAATCTAAAAAAATGAACCGTATGATTGCTAATCAGATATGAACAAAATCGTTAACTTAACCAACGTAAAAAATGTTGAAAATCAATGCTAAATAAAAAATTTAGTGCTTTAGAAAAACCAGTGACTTATTATATCCAGACTCAAGTCTAAAGGGACAGAATGCTAGTACCGCTTGAACAGCCTCCTCAAATAGCTCTCTTGCGCGCTCAAGTTCTTTCTTCCCATATCTCTTTACAAACCTAGAGAGATATGTAACCCATATGTCTTTGACATGTGGATACTTGAATATTTTAGTACCTTTTTGATACACCTTGAACGCATCTTCAAAGTATTTATGCTCCTGTGCAATCAAATTCTAAACATAAGATACTTACAAGTGAATGTTCCAAGAAAAGAGCAACGGGAGGAATGCCATACCTCAAGAAGCGATGCATAATTGATTATGATCTGCGGTGTGGCTATTTTCAAATCCAATATTCTCTCGTAAACAGCTCGAGTGGACTCTAATTTACCCAGGCTCTCCTCCAAGTCCACATAAAAAGCCCAAATCCTCAAGCATTTATGCAGCTTCATCTGAACCGGTGCATTCCCATCAGCAGCCACTGCAACAGCATAAGCCAAAGTCCCAAAGTTTAATTATAGCTCCCACAAAATCCATATACCTAACCTAACCATTTAACTTCTTTTTCTTTTCAACGGTTAAAATAAAATAGTGCAAACACAACTCGATGGGGGCTCTAACAAACCCAAAGACTAGTGCAAACACAGAATCAACCAAAAACACAGTGCCTGTCAAAAAGCGCAATAAGAATGGAAAAGGAAGTAAACAAGAATATGGAAACCAAATATGGGAAACAGACACATTTCTTTTAACCAGTTCAAATGCTTAAATTTAGTAAAATCACCATTATATTACCATTAAGAAGGCCCTTGGAAGTCCAGCAGAATTATAGATCTCAAAGACAGTATTTGGAATAAGAATAATAGAGACAAGGCCAAACAATTCAAAGCAAATCAAGGTGATTTTCAAACTGAAAAAAATTTCAGGTTCCAAAGTAAATACAAAAGCAAGCAGCATGAGAATACAAGGCCAAACAATTCAAAGCAAATCAAGGTGATATTCAAATTGGAAAGAAAATTTCTCGTTCCAAAGTAAATACAAAAGCAAGCAGCATAAAAATTACAGGGAAGATACCAGGTGCAAGATATTTCAGGAAATATATCTACGTTTGAGATTATTGAAACATAATAATAACTGTATAAAAAGCTCTGTAAAGTTTTTATTTGAACTTCCAACACATACAAAACTACAAAACAAACCAATGAAGGATGAAAATTACCTCTTCGTTTCACCTCAACAGATGGCTCTGCAGTAGCCCGCCTCATCAGTTCCAGTGCTCCTTTGAAATTCTTATGCCTCAATTCCATTTCTGCCCACTCACACCACAGACTAGCCAAATTATCCACGGTCTTGTAATTCACCTGCACTGCTTTATCAAAAATCACTCTGGCATTGACAATATCATTGTAGTTCTCGTACAACTTAGCAAAAGCAACCCACAAAGTGTGAGGCTTCCCAACCGCTTTCATTGGATCAATTGTCCTCACTGCCTCAGTGTAAGTAAGTATCTGCTTGGTGGGATTGCCCTCATAGAGCTTCACTCTTCGGTGCCACTGCTCTACATTATGAGGATTTTGTCGTAAAAGAACACTATTTGCTAGTACAGGTCTTCTATCCATGAGATGGTCCAATCGAGCTAATCTCAAATCTATATCCTTATCATCATGTAACCAAAACCCATCAAGCATTTTCTTCTCAAGCTCAACCACAGACAAGTTAATATCCAATCGAAGATCTTCTTCCTCCTCATTTCCATCCTCCGCAACCCCATTCTCTTTGTCCTCCTCATCATCACTCAAATCAGCAGTTTCCATCTTATGGGCAAGCACAATCTCTTCAAAATGAGCATACGAATCAAAAATCACACTAAAATCTCTCACCGTTACCACAGTTGTCATACCCTCCTCAAATATATCCCTCGCCTTCTCATGCAAATTCCTTCTAATGTAATAGTCCGCAAGAGAGGTCCACAACCGCCCCACCTCATCTGTAAACTTCCTAATCCCACCTCTAATTATAGCATCCACATTGAGGCCCGAAACCTCGGTGGCATGCTTAGTAAGCAAATCACACAATTCTAGCCACAGCCTATGTTTCGTCTTCCCCTTTATTGAGTAAAACTTATCATCATTCAACACAGCAGCCAGCCTCTCGGCAGCCTCTTGCCAAAGACTAGAATTAATCAAGAACTCGATGAAATCTTCAATATGTGTAGGGTCATATTTCAAATACCTACGATAAACCCGAAGCGAGGTCTCGATTGGGATGCCCTTTTGGCTCACGAACACGAGGTAGGGCTCCCAAATGCGATCGTGCTGCGTCACGGGAAGAGCACACAGCGCTCTGTCAAAGGTCCGGCGAGTCTTGGTGACCAATTTCTGCTCCGTCAAAGTCTGCAAGTACATAATCCAAATCCTGGGCATCTTGTGCATCGTCACTAGGGCTCGTTCAAACGTGTTGACTAGTGTTTCATACTGCGAGTGAGTGATGGGCAAGTTCCTTACAAGCTCGAGTCTTTCGCGGAGGTAAGCGTACCAGAGCTTGTAGCTTCCGGGCAGAGCCTTGAGGGCTCGCTCGTAGATTATGAAGCGCTTCTTGAACGGAGATTCGGCTCGAGCGATTAGGTAGCGCCACCATAGCTTGAGGCTGAATGGGTTGCGGAGAAGCTCCTCTTCGTAGAGCAGGTCGTCTTGCGATGGGTATAGCTCCTGAGAGATCGCCATGGGAGAGTGAATCTGCAGGGACAGGAGTTGGTAGTGCCTGAAAAAACCCTAAACCCTATAGAGACAATTAGGCGAAGTTTGAAGTTTTGAGGATTTTGAAGTTTCAATGCAGCATAGTCTGGGATTTTGGGGGTTGAAGAAACCCTAAATTTATCAAATCATACAGAACAGAGAGAGAGAGAGAGAGAGGGCGGATAGAAAATTGAACAGATCGAAATCTGTTTAACCGGGAATTGGAATTTGTTTTCGGGCTAGTTTAGATGTATGTTAAAATGGATGAAGTGTTTTAAAAGTGGTATTTTTGAATTTTAAAAGTATTTTAAGTGTTATTTTAGAATCTATTTATATTTTTATGATTGATTCTAAAAACATTTTCATCAAAAATACTTTTAGTTATATTCAAATGAGCCTTGTTTGATTTAAGTGTTTTTGGGCTCAAGCCCATTAAAAGCTCTCGCCCAATTGTATGCCGGGCCCTTAATACAAGGCCGTGAAAACTGCGGCCCATTAAGCTCTTTGAAACGGGCCTATAAAAGCCCGCGATGACAATGATTTTAGCGGGAGTAACGTAAAGCCACGCGGCCTGTAAAACAGAGAAAAAGAAGAGAAGGGCTCGTCGCTTTCCAACTGCCACACGTAGATGCCGTAAGCAGCAGCAATCATATACGCCAACGCGCACGCAACCCCTCTCTCCTCTCTCTCTCTCTCCTCTCTGTGTGTCATAATATCAGACTTTCTCTCTCTTCTAGTTCTCGGAGACTTTTGCAAATACCCCCTAGCGCGGCCCCTCCCTCGATTTTTTCTTTAATTTTTTTTTTCAATTTTTTATTTCTGAATCTCACCCACTCGGACCCAGCTGCAGCAGTACAAAGTCCTCAACTTTTCCCCATCCGAGCTGCGATTTAGGTAAAATCTCAGAGCTCCGAATTTGAATTTTCAATTTCTTGGGCTCATTTCGATTTGGGGTTGTTTTGGATTCTGTGATTTCTTTGGTTTTCTGGTTTGTAAGCTGCGGCCATGGCCTCTTGAGATGACAGGGCCATGGCGTCCATGGCTGCTTCCGTGTTTGCTTGGTGTGAGAGGCTGATTTGCTTTTGGGTGTGTGTTCTTACTAACCTAAGATAATTTTGGTTCTTAATTTGCTGGGTTTTTCATGGAATTTATTTTTTCAATTTTGTTAATTTCCCATGAAGAATTGGACCTGTTTAGGGTTTAGATTTCAGCTGATGCTCATATGCTGGGTGAGATTTTGAAAAAATAAAAATAAAAATTAGGTTTTGATCCTGGGGATTTTATCATTTTAACTATCTTCATTGTTCCAATCTGGTTCTTTCTTGTGAAGATAATGTATTTTCCTCTGTTTGGTTCACCCATAATCTGGATCAAAGTTAAAATGCTAGGTTATGGGGAATCATCTCTTTTCTCGGGCCGAAAAGCAATCCCCGTTGTTGTTGAATAAAGCTGAATATTGCTGCAGACTTGATTGACTTGAGTTTTCTGTTTTGTAGGTTGATTAATCGGAAGTCCTGACCATCAAAGAAAACTGGAATCCTGACCTCCAAAGAAAACTGAAATTTATGGTATGTGATGAATATAAGTTGATCGTTTACTGCATTTTTCTAGCAACCAAAATTGACCCATGCCATTGAATTTTTCTCTTCCCAAGCATAAAAGTATGTTGATTTTCGTGGATGCTGAGGTCTTTCGTTTCTTTTGCTGGTTGTCAAACAAATAGGTTCTCATACTTTCCCTTTGTTTTCTTTGTATGCATTTCTTTCTTCAGTGAATAAGGTTCTTGCTCTCCTTTGCGCGTGTCCCGTTCTCTTCTCCAATCCTCCACATTCACACGCACACCTGAGATTCCTCTTTCACATACATCAGTACAATGGAGGTCAAGCTGGCCAATGACAAGCGTGAAAGAGAAATGTATGATAGTTTTGCCGAACTATACGCCATTATCAAGACCACCGAGAAGCTTGAGAAGGCGTATATTCGGGATGTGATCACTTCTTCTGCGTATGAGACCGAATGCCAAAAACTCATTGCCCACTTTAAGACATTGGCTTCCACGCTTAAGGACACCATCCCAAGCATTGAGCGGTTTGCAGATACATACAAGATGGACTGCCTAGCGGCTATAAACCGTCTTGTGACCTCAGGGGTGCCTGCCACAGTGGAGCACCGGGCTGCTGCAGCTTCCTCCATGACTTCCTCAGCTGCCGCTGTGGCAGAATGCACACAGAATTTCATCACTGCAATGGACTCCTTGAAGCTGAACATGGTGGCAGTCGATCAGGTGCACCCGCTGCTCTCGGACCTCTCAACGTCTCTTGGAAAGTTGACCTTTCTACCACCGGACTTTTTGGGGAAGGTAAAGCTGAAGGAGTGGATTGCAAGGCTATCGAATATGGGAGCAGCTGATGAGTTGACGGAGCAGCAGTCCAGGCAGCTTCACTTCGATCTCGAATCATCATACAACTCGTTTATGGCGGCTTTGCCGAATTATGGTACTTGACACAGCCCCTTGCTAAAACTCCGTGATCTCCTACAACGGATTACTAATTTTCTGCAGCATATATATGTATATTTTGGGGAATGCCTGAGTTCTGAACTTAGTGATTAGTTTCGATATTTTGTGTCGATCGTTCGATCGTTCCAGATATGATTTCCGAACGATATTGTGGGAAGTGCTTGAATTTAGTGTCTTGATTTTTAATGGCATATGATCTCGGTGGCGTGATTGAAATGAAATGCTCAATATTGGGGCCGTTTTGTGAAGGTAAATTGTTTGATGACCATTTTGTGAAAGCAAATTGTTTGATGGATTAATGATTGGTTTTTCTACACCTTTATGCAGCAATGATTAGTTTCTTTGCTAAACCTTTGGAGAGATTTTTCAGTGTGGTCGTCACACGAGATGATACATCACGTATTCTTATATAAATTGTGGGTTATGTGTGTTAAAAGGTTAATAATTTAAAAATTAAAATTTTCCACTACTTACATAAAAACACGTGATGTACTATTCTTATCACAACTAAAAATTTCTCCTACTTTTGGTTTGGTTCACCAACCGAGGCCTAACTCTATTAAACTAGTGTCAGCAATCAGAGATTCGAATGAGACGGGTGCACTGATTGTGGTTTTATTGTGTCTTTTGGTTTGTTTGGAACGTTTTTAGAATTAGATAACTAAAAGCTCTTCTGACATTTGACAATAAAAAAATGAAAAGTGTTTGTGTTAGAAAAGCTGTGGAATTGCTTTCTTGGAAAAAAAGAAAACACTTACAAAGCGCTTCTTTTAGAAAGTATAGGATTTGGACATGTTTTTAATAAAAGCATATTTTTAGTAAAAGCGTTTTAGGAAAAAGCATTTCCATAGCTCGTCAAACTCAAAAAGGTTCGACTTTAAAATGTGAGGTGTGGAGAATTATCACGGGATGGTTTAGTGTTTGAGGATGAATGACAAGCTTGTATTTCACGGCTCGAATCCTGGCATTGGTGAATCACACGATGATGGTCAGAAGAGGTTGAAATGCCTTAAGTTTTCTTGACCCTCAAAAGAGTAGACTGTCGTGAGGACTCACCAGCTGGTCCCTTTGAAAAAAAAAAAAAAAAAGAGTGTGTGAGGTGTGGAGATGCAAGAGTTTGGGAAGGAAAAAGTAGTTTAAAAGGCAGTGTCATTCATAAAATGAGGATAAAATTGGTTACAAAGAAATGTCTCTAATTGGTTACATCACGTATTTACCATCTGCCAATTAGGTCCCTTTGCACCGAGAGATTTAAAAGCTTGGAGGATGCCCAAATGTGAACGAACGTTCAACTTCCATTTCTAAGTTTTGCTACTTTTGTGTCACAATTTTTGTGTGTGAGACATTGAAACCGCACCCTTCGAGAACAAACGGTTTTATTTTATTTTGCGTAGGGACTAGGGATTGTGGCGCTCTACTTTTAGACGTATGCACTGCAAAATGAATATGTGCAGGAGGCTAAAAGAGGAACGTCAAAATCACTAACCATTTTTCTTTCCTTGTGAAGTCGCCGTAAGATCTAACTATGAACAAAGTCCGCCCCGTTTCCCTCTTACTACTTCATATGAGGCAAAATTTGTAATATAATTGGAATTAGGAGGAGAATGATGAGAACTATTCCAAGAATGATTGCAATGCATGTCCACTTCCTTGATTTCTTCTGCTGTTCTTTGGCTACCTGAAGGTTGTCAGTGCCTCGTCTCACGAAAGAACTTGCGTGCATGACGTGGCTCTCGATGTCGTTGAGCTGATGGCCCTGAGCTTCGACCAGGGCGGCCATGTCCATGAATATCTGATGCAGCTCGATCAAATTCTTCTCGATCTCCTTCACAGCATCGTGTCTCTCTTGCATTTCGGATATGGTGTCCATAATCTGACCTCTCCCCTGCTCCTGAATCGCCTTCTGCAGAAAACTCTCACTCTCTCCGCTCGAAATCAAAGTTTCGATGGTATCCTCGCTTGCCTTCTCTCCGGTGATTGTGAAATACCTGCGTTCTATTGTTTCCTTGTACTCGGCTGTCATCCTAGCTCTCAACCCTTGAAAGTCATCCATCATGTCCTTTAGCTTCTTCCCCAAGCCACTAACCACCGAGGTCCTCGTTCGATCAGCAGAGGATCCAGGGCCACACCCGGGAAGGTTCCTGTGCGCTGCGTTCGAACGCTCTAATCCTTCGAGCTTCCCCTTGATGATTTTGACCTTTTTGAGGACCTGCTCGACGTCCAAGTCCATTCGGGTCCGGAGCTCCTTCATGGTTTGAGCATTGTGCACAGTCTTGCTCTCCTCATTGGATTCTTGCAGCTGCTTGTACAGCCTCTCGACCTGCCTCATGTCCTCCTTCACATTCTCAATGTCTTCGAAGAACTTGTCGAGGTTAACGTTTTCCTTGCCGGCCTCCACGTCGTCGAGGTAGGCCTGCTGCTTCAGGTCCGTGTACTTCTTGAACGAGCTCGAAAATAAGTCGTTCATCTTGCCTGGATCTTATGTATAACCAAAGGTGCTTTTCTTAGAAGTGCTTTTCGATGGGGATTTCTTTCTCTCTTATGTTGGTGAAGATTGAGCGGACGAACAGAAAAGCACGTAAAGTTGTAACCATATGCGTACAACAATTAAGTAAGCTAAAAAAATCAATCGAAGGGTGCTTTTTCTTAAAAGTGCTCTTGGACGGGGGTTTCGGGCTTCTGCATCCTCCTCTGCATCCACATTGAGCGTAAGGAGGAGGAGGGGACAAAAGCAGAAGCCGTCACCAAGATATGGACGAAAGCAGAAGTTTCCTTGTTTTTGGTGAGGAGGGGGGTGGTGGGATTAGCATTAGAGGCTTTGGATTAATTACGTAATTAGGACCAGCCAAATTAACCTACAAATCCGTTTTAACGATGGCTGTACCGTAGCTCCTGATATGACACGTGGCATCATCCCATTCTCTTCATCTGTTGGTTGACTTGGTCGTACATTTCTCTCCTCCCAATCACTACTTTGGTATAAGATATTTGTGGATAATTAACCAGGCCTAATTAGAAATGGATAGCAAAATGTAGTTGTAATTAACCATTTGTATTAGCAGACTAATGATAATTCAATTTAGTGATTTATATCAAGAAAAGTTAACAAGCTCACAAAGATAAATACCTGAAGAAAAAAAAGAACGACTCCAATCCAACAAAGCTCACAAAGATAATAACCTAATTATGGAAATCTAATCAGATCAAAAAAGGCATTAAAATTACCCCTTGGTTGCAACGTACCAAAAAATAACAGATTGATAGAGCGATATTTTACACGCCTATAACCTATAAAAAGGAAATTCGAACCAAGGTACAAGGAGACGAGGTGTCTAATTAGCTGTAGCTAGCAAAAAATATTTATTATTGAGATACCACGTGAAATTACCAGCAATAAATGCAAAATAAACAATAGGTCTTTTAAAAAAAAATACTATTATGAAGGAACGAGAAGAGAGTTCGAAACTAATACAATAATTTATAGAAGAGAGTTTCAAACTCGAGACACATGGGTAAAAACTTAACAGCCTATCCAATAGATAATGCAATTTCTAGTTGAATAGGGGGAAAAGAGATACGAGTTACATTACATCCCTCAGTGTCTCACAGCAATGTATCGAGATGAGCTTCTAAAATGAAACCGCGTAGCTTCAACCCGCCACACGCTTCAGTCGCCTTCATCGATTTCCGGTTAAAAAAACCGGCTCTCGTGTCCATTTACATTAATTCGGAGAGGACAACATCGTATCAAATTATAGTTTCTCGACCAAGTTACCGTCTTTCCACCTCTTTATGTACAAACGTGGAGATGCGCGGTGCTGGTGTTGATGAATGTACAACAAAATTCTCCAGTTCAGAACACCACCGGAGGTTGCTGATGACCGGCATATCATTGCACAGAAGAAGACATTGATGTTATCCCGTGGCAGTCATGGATGCCGATGGTTTGATGGATAAAGTTGCAGGACAGTCGTTGCTGCTGTCATGATTGCTACTTTCGAGGTTTACAACATTGCTACTTTCGAGGTTTACACCATTGCCGAGGGGTTCTCCCCCTCCTGCTTCACTTGCAGGTCGTTGTGACCCGTTGCCTGATGACTTTTCACTACCACCAGAGCTTGACAATCTTTGCTGCCTGTGATACCTTGCTGTGGCATCGTGAAGTAACTTCATCATGCCGCCTGAATCGGATCCAGGTGATAGCTCATCCTCCCGTTCTGGCTGGATATTCAGGTCAATTTGGCCTTTGAAAGGTGAAGTTGAGGATTTCGTCATGTTAAGGTCATCATCGGAAAGCTCAAGGATCTCTATTTTCTGGTTTGGACTACTGCTTCCTGCGTTACAATATGATAGGGTGTCATCCTCCGGTTTATCAACCACCAGTAATTGCCCCTTGTGCTGCTTTCTGCGTGTAGTTTCTGCTTCTTTATCTGACTGTTTCTTCTCACGCCGCATCATTAATGTACGGAAGCGGCGCTTCACTGTTAAGCATACATTGCAGGTGCATGTTTGCTTGTGTTTAGGACCCTTCCCACTAGGGGGCTGGATGCAGACAATACATGAGCATCCAGGCCTATGTCGGGGGTGCTTTGTGGTGGCCTGAGCTGATGATGGGAGTGACTCACCCTCTCCCAAGATGGCTAGGTTCGCAAGTGTGTCAAGCCCCTCCAGAACTTCAATGTTATCGGGGTCCTGTTTAGCAGCCTTCAATTTCTTCGAAGCAACTGCCCAGTCAGAATATAAAATAAAACAGTTGGAAATTTGATTAATTGGAAGGATGTGCGCGTGTCAATGTTAAGAGAAAAACTTGCATGTAGGAAAAAGAAAAATAACCATTTAAACATAGGTAGGCAAAAAGAAGAAAATGTAGTGCCCACAACCAATTTGTTCTCTAAACACACGTGACTCAATGTGCTCTGAATTATGATAACTGTTTCCACCAATTCATACCTGTATTACAGCGGGGTAGCAAATCTTGAAGCTGTTCCGTTGTCAATTCTTGAGCTGCTGAACACAAAGATCTGGCAGATATTTTTCAAAACATTAGAAAATCAGTTTTACCGACATGCACATCCTTGGAGCTCATATCAATTTAAGGTGACCTTAGGAAATGTCCATTTACCTTTCAGGGTCCCATGAATTCTCAGAACAAGTCCACTTTGATGGTAGAAGAGCATTGATTGGCAGTTTGCGCCATTTGAAACAATCTTCGCATTGAACCCACTGAATCTTCTCACTGGCAAGAATGAAACAAAGCATTTGAATTTAGAAATCTGCGAACTTATATGACACAAATAATGGACATTAAACTCAGAGTTTAGGCTGAAGAATAGACAGGGCGAAAGCAATTCTTCACCTTCATTCCAGGCATAAAAACATGTTTCATATGCATGGTGCAGGCTGGTTTTGGATACCATTAACGAAGATTTATATATGAAAAAGATGCATTTTCTTACCCAGAACAGAATAATCTAACATAAAGACAATAATCAGACAGCCCTAAAATATTTTATTACGTGCCTTTTAGTCTCTTCAAAATATTCCAGAAATGTGAAAGAAAACAGAACAAATTCACCCAGCAACAGCACACCTAGGCACAATTTTGTGAACCAATACATGTTAACCTACAAACTTATCAAATGTGCCCACTTCGGTAGAGCAAATACCAATAAATTTTTGTGATAAATATGCAGAATGAACTAAAGCATTAAGGAGTAACACAGAGAAATAGTTACTTTAGTCAGGACATAGAAAACTAAATACAAGTCTTCACAAACAGATTTTAGCACTAAAATTGGCTTACCCTGCTCTGCCCGTCGCATAAATTGTTGGCTTCCCAAGAATTGGAGCATCCTGTAATTTGAAATAGTAGATCAGTATCCATAATGGAGGGGTCCTAACGCAATATTGAACAAGGTACCATAGTTAGAAAACATAATACGTCAAAGACTACAAAGATGCAATGAAAAGATGTAACACTCCCCTATTAAGTGCCAAGCTATACTTCCGGCTAAGAGAGGAAGTTTTGATTCAACAGTTCAAGATCACATTATTATATCATATAATATTGCCACGAGTCACCTTGGAATTGATTACATAAAAGAAGCTTTCGGAGATTCGTCTGGCATTAATTTTCTATTTGAGTTTTGTTAATAAATAACTCAATATCAATTTCTTTCTGAGTTTTGGAACTAAGTACAAAAGAATGGCATCCAAATAAAGTATATATGTGTAGCTCCATCGTGACAAGATATAAATGTTATTTTACCCCATATTACAATAGTAATTGCGATCTGTTAGAAAACGAATTTATGCAATAGATGTGGCGTAAGGGAATGAACAGACACATCAGACCGAAGGAACGAGAAAAAATCATGAGCAACATAGGGCAACATGAACCCTTTCAGAAAAGGAATAGTAGTGAACCACGTACCTCATATTCCTCAAACTCAAAGCCTTCAATCACCACAACAGTGGGAACATGGTTAGCAGGAGGACGAAGCAGGCCTTGAGCTTCTTCCCATGTAACCTTCAGTTCTATCACGTCTTCATTTTCAATTCTCAGACGCTTACTCTTAGAACCCAAGTTACTGTTCTTTCTTTTTTTAGGGATCAAAGATTTATCTTCCAGTGCTTCTTTTGCTATGTAACCTGACTTATCAACATTAGACCATGAGCTAGGATCTGCCAATTCAACCTGGTTCATTGATAAAAAGTTCGGTGATTCTGAACCCTTTATGAATGACAAAAGTTTGAAAAAACTTCACCAGATAAAGTTTCTGGTTTACTCACTTCTGCATGGGCTGAAACTCCGTTGGTTGTCTTGTTTGCCTCATTTTCCTACCATTGTAATGTAAAAGAAAATGAAACCTAAGTAATAAACCTTACAGAAAACCAAACGCAAAGATCGACATAAATAAGATAAATGCATGCAAAAGAGATTTTCAAGTGAATCAGTGCAGACTCAGAGACAAAAATGCCATTAGCTGATCATGCAACTTAATTGAAGTGCATAAATAGTCTGGATATCATTGTCTATTTATCTGATATTTACCACCCAAAACAAAAACAGCATCCTGAATACATGCCGCTTAAATCACCCATATATTGCCAATCATCACAAAAAATTAAATTCACCACAGGAACTGGGTGTTGAGCAGGGCAAAACCTGATCAGATTGTAGGGAAGTTGAAGCCTTTCTGAACCCCATAACCAATTTCCCTTCTGGCTCCAATCGACTAAATGTCACTGGGCAAACAGATAAAGTGTTCAGTGCCAAAATGAGGGAACAAAGTAACAAAATGAATTAATTTAAATTGAGAGCATCAAATCCAAAAGCTAAAATAACTTAATAACGCAAGAATCCAGAAAACTAACATTGAACCAAATTAAAAACAAAAAAAAAATATATATATATATATATAAAAAAATAAAAAGTCTTCTAAAAAAAAGTACTGGCACGTCCTTGCCAAGTTTAAGCATGACCCCTAACATTCATCAGAAATTTCTCCAGTGATGTAATATCATTACCTATGTCACCGGCCAGCAATTGCATGGATTGTATGCAAGGGGTAACCCCCTCCAAAACATACATTCTGCTATTGTTGTTGGGCCAGAAGCGAAACTGAAATATCCATTCCTTGCCTTTTGAATCCTGGACTTTAAGAGGTAACCCTTCAGGCTGAGAAATTGGAGGAAAGTAGGCCTGTCACAGAGGGGCAGAATGTTAATTGAATATGAAATGAAAAACTAAGTTAACCTAAAAATTTTGTGACAAATTCTAAAAGAAGATTCTTTCCATTATGCCTCAAAATGACAGGTTAGGCTTAGAAAGCATGAAGACACACCTCTGCACATTTTTTTGGCAACACCAAACGCCCGATCCGCCCAGCATCACTAGCACTCAACATTTTCTCGAATAATGGAGTGATTACAGAATTTTTACTTAGATATGGTTAAGGTGTACAGTATATAAGAATCAAGAGTCAACAAATTTTAAGAAGAGGCAGTACCATTACCATTATACAAACAGCCTTAAGAAATGTAATATAAAACATATACAACATTGTCATGTTAGAGAAGAGGAAAAAATATATATTGACATAAAGGATACTCTCCAGATATATGCTGCAGCTCTTGATCAGTGAATCTAGGCCAGTACCGAGGAAGTAACTGATTTCTTCCCCGGGCATCTACTCTAGGCCTTGCATTGCGGATCTGATTATCACCAGATGATTCAACTCCATTACCATTATAATTCTTTGCCAAAGGAGCGATTGGCCGCAAATTAGTTCCAGTAACCCCCAGTTGTGGATTTGTTTCACTGGGAGATCCATAAGGTACAAACTGTGGAGTAGACGGTTCCTCCTTCAAAGAGGCAGACTGCTGGGATATATTTAAACATGAACTACTTTTCTCCTCATGGTTAATTCCTACAACAAAATGTTCACAACAATTTAACAACCATCTACCCATTTCATTCTACAGCATAGAGCAGAAGCAAGGAAAGTTGGCACATCCTACTATCTTTCTCACTATGCTAAATGTCATGAAAAAACCATTACCTGGGTTCCCAATCCCATTTTCAAGACTTTGTTGTGTGCCAATACTTAGGTTTACTTTCATTAGTCTTTCAGAAAATTCCTCAACTTTCTTCTTTTCCAAGGTGGAGACAAATATTCTCTCACTGGCATTAAGCTTGTTAATTCCAGTTGAACCATCAACTTCATGTGGCACCCTCGTATGCAACTCAGATGAAGGAATAGAAGAATTGAATAAACTGGGCGCTTGCCTCCATGGTACAGGACCAGATCCAGCCAACTGAGTCCAATTTTTGGTAGACAGGTCCTTAAGTCTCTCAGATAAAGGTGAATGGAAGAACATAGATGTTGGCCATGCTGGGTTTGATGTCTGGATTAACAACAGAATAACACAGTTTTTGGTATATTCAAGGAAATACTAATAAACAAGGGTCGCCGTAGCAAAAATTGACAATTGAAACATATGATTTTAGTTATTTGATGAAGGCCTCCTTACCATTACATAATTTTTCCTTGCACATGTCATGCACTCAATTCCTCCCGGATCCAACAGTGTAAATGCGTGACTTGAAACGATGCATCCACAATGAACCCGCTGCAAAGGCAGACTAAACAAATCAGCATTTATACAAGAAATTCAGCTAAAGTTGGTACAACATTCTTTATAAAATTAAATGTATAACTATAAGGGATATTAATTAATATGGATAAACCATCCACTCACCTTCCCACAAGACTCACAGCACCTCCAACCAGCAGCATTCATATGAAAGGTCTCACAGAATCTCCCTTCCTCATAAGCAAAACTTGGATCACAGAAGAAGAAAAAGAAAAGGAAAGATATCTTTCAGTATAGTGATCATGAAATATAAAGAAAGACTTAAGGTAGATGAATCATTGAGTAGAGTCTAATTTTGATCCTTGACATAGCCGGTTGAAATTTTAAGGTGTTTTAAAATTAATTCAGCAATCATGCCATCCCTGCTTCCCTAATTAAAGTTAAGTATCAGAACTAACTCAATAACTAGTAATGAAGCTTGAAAATCTGGTAAACCTAGCAACATAAATTCGTCGCCTGAGTAAGTCTGCAAATTTACGCCACAGGCAGACATTTCATAGGCCTAGTATTGGAACAAGCAGTTTCAATTTTACTTTTTCTTCATAATTTTCAGCCATAGATAAATTCCTTTCCTGTGTGAATCTTCGAAAACAAAAGCTTCCCATTACCATCAGATGTCGCGGAAGTTTGATTCATTTGAGCGCCTCAAATGGTCAAACTCTCACATGAACATTAACAAAAACATGAAAGAATTAAAAACCATCTTGTAGTTTCACTCCTTTATGGCTTTCATTCCATCTCTCTAAGAGAGCATGGACTACGTTAAGTAAACTAAAGCTACTTTACAATTTTACCCTCATGTCCTTCGGTTCTCCATATCTTAACGAGTACAGACAAAAAACAACAGCAAAGACCATAAAATTCCATGTTCGAGAGAACCACTTAAATTACACAAAACATAAGCATTGCAGGTGTGCATTCGCTGAAAACAAGTACCAACGGGTTCGGATTCACTGAGAAGTAATTTCTAAGCAAAGTTATATTTGAACATAACATACAGACAAAAACGAAAATCTCAAAACCAACTGAGGGTATATACAATTGCTGTTTCATAAGCACCACATTCAAGCATCTGCTGAATTCGACGGAGCAACAGTTAATTCAAACAATCATTTCATCTTTCCCCTAAATTATATTACAATATATCTCTTCATTCCTGCTCCCCAAAGTTGTTCAGTACTAATACAAACGACAGCTCCAACGCATTTTACTAAATACAAGTCAAGCTATTCATCTCCCTCAATCGAATTCGAAAGACTACATGAAGAAAACGGAGCAAAAGCCGGTGTTCCCAAACTACCCTTCAAAAAAACCCAATCTTGTTGCGCATAACGCCACGACATGCTCCAAATTTAGCAAATTCCCACCAAAAAAACCCACTCCTAAAACCCTAAGCTCGATTTCAAATCAACCAACGAAACCCTAATGACGTCGCACGAAGCAGTAAGTTGAAGCAAGCAGAGTTCAGAAGGCAGCGGAGATATACCCAAGAAAAACCACTGAACCAGTTCAAAAATGGAAATTCAAAAAATTAAGAGAGAAATGGAATGGAAAATGCTTGACTTACTAGCACCGATCGCAGAGCTCGCAGTACTCGCCAGTCCGGAGCCGCCAGCCCTTTCTCGGAAACTCCGATTTCACCTCCTTGCACTCAGAATTGTAGCAGACCTTGGAAGCCGACGACGACGACGACATCGGAGAAGCGCCGCTTATAAGAAGCTCAAACCTAGAAATTAAGCAGCGGAGGAGTTGTAGAGAGAGAAAGTAGTGAGAGAGGAGGATGTAAAGAAATGGAAATACAGTGGTTTCCGCCTGATCTGTACGTAATCATATAGAACGAGAGACACAGACAGAAAGAGTTGAAGAGGGTTTTAGAGAGAGAGAGGAAAAAAAAAGTGTACTCATTTTGGGAAGTGAGAGAAACTAAATAAATGCGTGAATATTCATATTTAAGACTTAGTGTAGTAATAATGTGATTCAAATTCGTTTTTAATAAAAATCGAACCTAAAAAACTTAATTTATTATTAAATAATTAGCCTAAAAATCTTTAAAGAATACTTCTGAATTCACATGTAAAAGAACAAATACATTATTTTGACCATCAAAGAAATGACTCGTAAGTTAAATACGGTTGACGCATTATTATATTTAACTATTTTTCCAAACTTACAATGAATATTTTTCTACTTAGTGAAACTGAATTAAAGAACAAAATGTACATTGAGGCAAGCCATTTGACAAAATATGTGGTCGAACTCGAGTGCAAAGGATGAAACACTAATGTTTGATTTAGCTAGATTAATCCGTATTTGAATTCAAGTATAAGAGAAGATATATACATATTATCCATGTTATAAAAATAAAATAAAATTTTGAAGGTTACAAGAGGATTTAAAATCACGTCGGTCGTTTTGCCGTCGTCGTTTCTCGGATGTCAGTCTCGTCGCGAGCATTGACCCAAAAATTCCATTTTATCTGACAAGCCACAGGCGTGGATGGCCACCTGAGCTAACGACACAGGGGTACATCGGTAATTTCAGTGATATTGACTTGGTTGGACTAGTGGGATAGCGAGTTGGGACGTTTATGTACTCGCGCGAGGGGGTTAGAGAATTTCGGTCGCTTAGATGGTGTGTGTGGTGTGGGGAATAATCTTGTGCATGGCCCCGCAAAAGGTCATGCAATCACGTAACGCCCACTTCTGCGGGCTTGTTGGTTTGACGTCGCCCCCACTTTAAACGACTGCGTTTCTTCCTTCTTGGTGGGTTTTTGGGTTTCTTTGGCTACAGTGTCTCTCACTTTTGTTTTTACTCTTTATGATATTTTTGTTTGGAATAAGAAGGTTTTCAGCCTTTTACACGTAAGGAGTCGTACTTATTTTTAATTTAATATATGTGAAAAATGATTATTGTATACTTTTGTAGAAGTGTTAGTTTGTAATTTACGTATTAACTTTGTAATTGAAACTGTTCATTCTCTTTATCAAGATTATATATGCAGAAAATCATTCAATTCAAAACTGACAAACATTGTCGTATGATTATATTACAAGTTAAATAGATTGGCAACGTACGGCGTGAGTGAAACATGTATAGATTACATCGTGATCAGTATATATTAAGCTTATATATATATATATATATGTGAGTCAATATTAGAGGTTAGCAAAGAGTCTTTGGCCACATCTAACAATCAAAACAATGTTATGTTTTCTTGTTCCTAGGAGTAAGAGTAAGGTTAACAATTAAGTTTTGCAATTTAGTGATCGGGCACTGTCGGATAGCCACATGTTTTCTTGCATGTGTGAAAGAGATAAGAAGCTTTTCGGATCAGTTTGCATGTCATAATCCATTACGTGAAAACATAAATATTGTTTGTACCATACTTGACTAATCCCGAAACTATTAAGTAATGATTAACGTCATACCTTCAAGGATCTACTGCAGGGTTCATGTTGAGGCATTCATGCTGAAGCACAAGAGTTTCCCTCAAATCAGGAGGTCAATCACAGCACGACACATGTCAACTCAGAATAAAACTCATAAAGTCCCACATCGACTGCCGACGAAAGCTGGAAACTCTCCTTAACTATAAAAGAGGATCATTCTCCTACAGTTAATCTCTAATGTCATTATTGTACTTAAACTAGTAATTAGAACTCACTAATGATGATTATACTTGAAACTATGTATTTGTGTAAACCCTTCACTATTAATGAGAACTCTTCTACTCCGTGGGCGTAGTCAAACTTAGGGTGAACCACGTAAATCTTGTGTTTGCTTCTCTATCTCCATCTCTTTACATATTTATCCTCACTAGTGATCGGAGCAATCGAGCAAAGATCACAAACTTAACACTTTACGTTGTTCCAAGGTCTTCACTGATTTTGTTCATCAACAAATATTATATATATATATATATATGAAACATGCAACAGATAATACCAAATGCATATACATATATATGATTATATATATATAGTACTGTTTTTGGCTTAAGCTGGTTCATTTGTCAAACCCATTAATCGATGCGTACAAATTGAAGAAGATATAATAAAAAAATAAAGAGGAGATAGGCTGAATAAAAGAGGTCGATTGCTTGGTGGTGTCTGTATGTGCGGGTTTTAGGATTGTACGTGTATGGTAAGAAAACTACAAACTCAAAAGCAAGATGATGATTGAGATTGGGTGGTGCTATCCAGTATCACACCTCTTTTTATCTTGCACATTCTTTCTTATTTTTCGATTATTAAATCGAATGAATTAAAGAATATCAAATAACGAAAATTAATAAGCAATGCATAGAAAGTAAAAATGAGTGTATGGATATCACAAATCTTGAGATATATGCATATGTGTGAACGCTACTTGTTTTGCAAGGTATGTATATAAGTATATATGTATATTACATGCCAAAGATGGATGGAATGCATACACTATACACGTTGGTCTTGCCAAAATCAGTGCGTTTTACGAAAATGGAATATAATGAAATAGTCTTGTTTAATAAGATAACACTGTATGTAATAATATATGAGTTGGATGACTTGGTTGGTACGTGTTCTACATTTTTTTTTATTTTTTTTATAAAAAGAGGAAAACTGGTAGCAAATCATAGTTATCCACTCATTTAGGGCCGAATAGGCTATTGAGAATTTCAACATGCCCGTGACCCCAATCAAGCAAACTGACCATCTATTATGAATAAATAAATTGTGTTAAAACATAAGTGAATTAAGACAACACTATATGTTATGACGAGAATCTCTTCGTTCAAGAGAAATCATCATCTTTTTCGTGACTCACTGTTGCATGCACAATGCGTGGGTTAATTAGTAACCATAAATATCAAATATAAGGGCTCGTTTGATGGACTGAATGGGATAGATTATAGCCAATTAAAATAGGTACAAGTCCAAGTCTCATGTTTGATGGTGCTAAATATAAGTTGGATGGGATTAGACGGCATGGACTACAAACTCAAAAATGGGTGGGTTATGTAACACAACCTCTAACACAGGTTACAAATTTTATTTGCATGTGACTCTGTATGAACTTTCTATTAATCACCTTATGTTTTGTATATAATAATTTATTATATTAATACAAAAAATAATATTAAATTATAAAATAACAAAAATTCAAGAAAATTTCTATGTTTTGAAAGAGTTGTCTTGGCATTTCTTTGGAATGATTTGGATCACATGATTCCTTTCTGAGTGAAGGCATCGACATGATGAACTTATGGCTGATATAATTATGTATGACAGAATGACGCATTTCCTGCCATCATTGTCACATCTTGCATTTATTATAGTTATTCAAATATTCTTATTCATGTTTTGTTCAATTAGATTATGATTTTATCAAAATAATTCACTTACTCGAGCGTTGAGAATTTACAAAGATATTTTAGTTTTTTTTGTTTTTAGCCGTCAGCGTCAAGAATTAAACATAAAATATGTTGTATGAAATACAGACCTGAATTATCTGGCATGTTGACTTGGATTATTTGGTAAAATTAAACCACTGTTTGGCCTAGGGATATGTCAATCTCTTGTATTAAAGATTACGTTAAGGATTCAATGAGCAAATCTTAAGTTTAGTTATCTAAATTGTCGGAAAATCTTCCGCCAAACAGCCTGACCAATTGGACCGTTCGATCAAGTCATAAAAAGTGTGGAACCCCCATGCATTTTGGTCCCTAGCTCCCGTTCTCAAACTGGTTTACCCTGAGAAATCTTGTGTGTAACGTGACGAAACAGATAAAAAGACATAAATACACAACCGATTACACGATAAAATCTCTCATTTGAGAGCGCTGCCAGGCAGCCCTACCCAAGTTCTTCCCCCAATTATGTGCAAAAAGCCATTTTCATGCATTCAGAAAAAGAAATTAAAAATCCAAATATTTAGCATACCACAGACAACGAAGAAATTTGTACCACATTATCTCACAAGCAAAGTGAAACAGCAATCTGCATTCACACATGGGCTTCAGATTTTTATTAAGATGAACAAATGTATACATGTATTACACTAGTCGAATACAAATCGTCTCTGTATCGACCACAGCGGCCTATACGTTCCTGCACTACAAATCTGTTTCGAAACAAAAGAAATTGAAAAATCAAAGCAAAAAGAGTGAAGGATAAACTGCACGCTACATCGACAGCAATCAGTGGCTATTGCAAAATAACTTCTCAGCAAGCAAGTTGCTGAGAATATGCCTCATCGATCTAAATCCCTTGTATACTCCTTGCGGATTTTTACACGTCTGGGTTGGATGACAAATTTTTTCTGCTCGGAATTTCTCTCTGTTACCAAAATCGAATTTGAGATAAAAAATAGTTCATCCTATACGGGGGAAAACAGAGTAGCTAAACCTTGATCCACGGTTACTTGAAGTTTATCGTAGACCATCAATGTCTTCTGGTCACATTTGTATGCTCCTTTGCCTCTAGCCAGGACCTCGCCATCTGAGTCGATTATCCCTTCCTTAGCTGGGTCCTTGGTGAGAGGACCGGGCTGCAAAATAAATGCTTTCACCTGCAGAATGTCGCAAGATAATAATAACATAAACAGAAGCGAAAAGTTATTAAAGCTTCTTATTTACCAAAGAAAAAATCTTAAACCAAAGTAAATGTTCGATAGGTTGATTTGGCTGACCTTGAAGTACAAGACATATGGTGATTTAATATGGCTTCCTGTGCTCAACCCAGACATCAATGAGAGCAATGATAGTTTTGGACAGGCCCTCATCATTATCACGTCTATATAACCATCCGAGAACTGCAAAGGGGCACAAATACATGTGAATTATTCAAGTTTTAAATAAATATCCCAAAACAGTATAAGTGGAGAAGTATCTGAAATAGATGCTACGCAATTTTACTGTCCAACCTTGGCATCGGGAGCCGCCTTTGTGTCTTCACCACCCCAAGGCACATTGTGAAGCCAGATGGAAACAAACGGTCCGCTAATAGTTCTCCAGTCCATGCTAGCCAAGTTAATATCAGGCCCTGGATAGCTATGTTGTCGAATGCTAATCAGCTCCTCTTGATTTGGAGCACCTGCATTGTGTTGGTTAGTAGGTTCACTGGCATTACTGTAACTAGTAGGCTCTCCGTAAGCTTCAAAGCCAGGTGCAGGCACAAAGGAGATAGATCCATTATATTGCCTCAAATGCACAATCCGTTGAACAGCCTAAAATACATAGACAATTATTAGTGTCTTGCCATTCAATACCATCCCAACAACAGATTACTTAAACATGAACATCTGCATTAGCAACGAAGTAATCCAGTAAACTAGACCACAACAAACAGAGGTGTAAACTTACATAGAAATCTAGTCGAGCACTTCCCATCCACCTATATTTCTCAGACTCAATGTCAACATCTGCCACTAAACCTGAAAGCAGATGAAGCTTTATTAGTAACACATTACATTTTTCAGTTGCAGCGAGACCCAGAAATTCTGATAGGAATTCTGCCAGTTCCACTATTCAGTGGGGTGATACTTTTGAATTACCCCATGCAAGCATCAATACACTGAAGAATTTCATCCTCCCCTGGCAGATGGTAGCTACATCCAGTGAACGCTTATGCCCTGACCGTAAATAAACCATAAAGAAGAAAAACTCATTAATCAAAAGAATTACCAACACAGGAAGAGAAAGGGCGCAATCGTAATGTTTTGAGCACAGTATAACGATAGACAGACAGCATATATACCTCGAATAATGGCAAGGACAGCATTAGACGGTGTACAAGGTTCACCAACAGAATCCAAAAGAGATTTTGCCATCCCATTTCCAGTACCTAATGAAGAGAATCTCGTCAGAAATTAACTTTAAAAACAAAAAACAGACTATAACTGTCTGTTTGAAGCAAACTTGCAAAGTTTTCCCTCACCTTTTATAACATGAACGATCAACCTAATTATCAAAGAAATGTTTTGTTAAATATAAAGAAAATTGAGAAATAAAGAGTACAGAACCTGCAGGAACTACTCCAAGAGGAATCTTTATTGCAGCGTCCCAATCCTCTCTCTCTAGGAGTCCATTTACTACCTACTAAAAAGTGCAATGCTTGTAAGAAGAAAATCATAAGCTTAATACAAGCACATGATTCTCAAGACAAATAATGTACTATAAAAAAAGGGAAGAGTTATTGGCACTCCAAAAATCTCATTCTACTCCTCACAAGTGTATTTTTCTTTCCTAATATAGAAAGTTTGGAGTGTAGAATGAGATTTTTGGAGTGCTAATAACAATTCCCTAAATAAAAGCAGACTCTTCATGAGATTATATTTGTCTTACAGTCTAATAACACTACTTAATTCAGTTAAAAACCATCACAGCTTAACATTTGCTCAAAAAACATAACACTACATTTACCAAACAAAATCTAACTTAATTTGAGGGAAAAGAGAAATAAAACAAAGTTCGTCAGTGTAAGTAATTTGATTCCTCGACAGAGTCATTTGGTCAATTACAATATCGCATTGCTCATGTTTCTTATAGCTGCAACGAAATCATATGCACATGGTCACTGATCATTGGAAACCGACCTCAACCAAGATTCCGTCCCCACTAACACAAACAATGCCATCATACTTTGAAAGATCTAGTGTTTTCACAACTTCCTTCGCATGTAGTTGATATTGAGTTTCTGAAAATTCAATAAAAAACCAATAAGGGAAACACTAACTCGACCCGCGATTCACAGATCCAAAATTCAGTACCACACATCAACTATTAACTAATAAGCAAAACATTGAAGGAAATTCCTTAACCTTGCAGCGTAAATTGGATACCGGCATCCTCGAAAAGAGGTTTTACGTGATCAACATAAATCTTTGAAGCAGATTTGCTACCACCAAACGGATTCACAAAAACAAACAGCCTCTTTGGCCGTCCTGTGCAAAAGAGGATAAATTACCACCTATATTATCACTATATATGCAAGAAAGTAACAATAAACCATAAATTCATGTTATTTTCAATAATTAATCTCGCTTAAGTGAACATTAGAGTAAAACGAGCTTGAGCTAAGAAATTAGAACGAGAACAACGGATATTCAAAATAATCTCGCAACGGTCAAACACCCTGAAGTGAAAAGTCAAACTTTTTCCAAATATTCGTTTCATTTTCCGGCATTTTCCTATCAACCAAACACGACACAAGCCGATTACAACTTACAAGCAAATGAAAATTACCGAGAGAATCGATGTAATCCCCGAGCTTCTGGCACCAGAGCCTTTGCGAGTCCTCAGAGAGAGGCTCGAACACCAAGTCCTTCCTCGCCACAGCTCCTCTGTTCGCGCCACAGCAGATTCCAGCTCCGCCTTCCACAAAAGCTCTTATCCTAATCTTTGGACCCTCCGCCGCGAACCCCAGGACCTCCTTCTCGACGATCAAGCTCCGTTGACTTCTCTCCGACCACCGGAGCACTCCGTCGGAGAATAAAGCCACGGGTGTGACGACGCCGCTTATGAGGACCCGGTCGGAGAGTAGGGGTTGCGGGGGAGCAGACTCGGGTCCGGCTCGGTCCATGTTTGGATAGTGGTTCACGTCTTCCGGAGTGGTTGAGGGCTTTTGGTTTGGGGGCCTGAAGAAAAGTCTGATGTTATGTGCTGGTTGGCGGAGAAACGGGTTCGGTTGGACGAAGCGAACCGGGTTTAATGTGAAACGGAAATCGGTTGCAAATTAAAATTACCGAAAAACCAGAAAAAAAACTGAAATTAGTTGCAAGCAAAGCATCGTTGAGCTTTTGTGGGTACCACAAAAGATGAAGAAAAGAGGCGTTGGGCCCAAAGTTTATATCCAATTGTTGTGTACGATATGAACGAGTTGTGACTTGTCCTTGGATATGGTCGAGTAGAGTTGTCTAATAATGTGATATAAATTTTGACATTACGTCATGTTCGTAGGGTATATTTTCTTTAATTAGGTAGTCCTTGTATCTTAATTTCGGAGTTGGATTCTCTTCACTTCAAATTTTCTTATTTTTTTTTATTTTATTTGAACGGTTATATTTAAGTAACGTTAACATCTTGTGTTGACTTTTTTACAGAGAGAAAAAAAACAAAAATGGAAAGGAGAGAGGAGGGGACGGAAGGAAGGAGAATTTAAAGGAGAGATAATCATACCTCCTAAATTTCTCTTCCATTTGGGATACTTTGCAAATTTGAATTGGTTTGTAGTTTAAGGGTTTCAAGGGAAATGTCATTTATAGGATTAATTACACATACACTCCATAAAGTTTAATTTATTTTCACACAACCCTAAATGACGAATTTACTCTTTTAGTTAATTTTCCAAAAGTAAAATACTTTTATAGTAATTAGAAAAAAAAAATTAACAATTACAGGAGAGAGATAGTGGATTCAATGGTTGTTTATATATCGGATTGAACACTACAGGAGAGAGAGAGAGACATACACACACACATATAAGCCGCAGTATTTGTGAAGCATACATGAATAAATACGAGGGGATGTATGTGTAATTATCCAAATATGTATGTCCTCATTTTAACATCATATTCTCTTAATATGCAAAGGGGTGTGCTATCCACACATCCCTTTTTGCCTCTCACACACCCTTTGTTAATTTATGTCTGTTAATCTTCTTGAATTTATCTGACCTGACAATTGAAAACTAAAAAAGTGTGGAAAAAGTAAAACAGAGTGTGTGGATATCACACCCCTATGCAAAAAGTATTTTTTTAAGTAAAATGAATTCGAATCACTTTTTCCGTTTTTGTACTTTTGAATTCGAATCACTTTTTCTGTTTCTGTAAAGTAAAATATAACACAGGGATTCTCAAAAAGATATACACCCAATACCAGTGAGTCAAATGTGTAGTGGCTATGTTAAGAAATTTTAAATTACTAATCTTTCACTTTCAACTCGATTCACTGCCTAGGTGGCTTTTACACCTATTCATTCCTAAGGGCACTTGCCGTCAATGGTGGAGTTAGGAATTTACAACGATAGGGTCAAAAAACAGTTTTAGAAAATCGATCATACTTTTATTTAAAAATAGCTTTCAAATATATCAAAATGGAGATTACAAATAGACAATAGAGTGTTTAATTTTCAAACTCAAATTACACAAACACTGATAGTTCTCACTCAAACAAAAAACAAATAGAGAAGACGAAAATACATAACAAATTCATCTCCCAAAAGCTACCGAAAATAGTACTAGTATGAGTGATTGCTCATAGCACAAATGAAGCAGCTTTAGGAGAGCAGTAGAGGGATGGAAACCAAAAACATTAGAAGGATGGAACAAAAAAACAGCAAATGGCCCACTAAATTTGGCCATAATTCATCTGTTGCTGGTGCTATAGGGGTCAAATATTTTTTCACAAGACAAAATTTAGAAACTTATTGGGGTCAAGGGATCCCAATGCACCCCCCTTGGCTCTGCTAGTGCTTGCTGTAGCTGTTGGCACAGAGTTAGCTGGTGCTTCTTCCTCGAGTCCCAATCCTTGTAAAGAAATTTCCAACATGATCTTTTTCGGATTTTTTTGGTAAGGATCCTGGGGATTTGTGAATCGTGTCCGTTCGTCGTACATCATGTAGTCAGTTTTTATCAAGTATTGTCTGTGTTTATTTTAAATAAAAATATTTAAAATGATTTTTGACCGCATGGTGTACAATAAATGAATATAATTTACGAATTTTTAGAATCCTTACAAAGAGAATCCTGAAAGGATCCGAATTCAAGAAATTTGATCCAGCTAAATAAAGGGTGAGAAGGCACGAATGCGGTAGCACTTCCAAATATTAACAATGTTTTGTCCGTAGTGGAAAAAATGTCTTCGGGCTTTACGGTCCATAGCATAATGTAAACTTACAAAACCATTTTGGGCTGGATATTCAAATCCAAAATTTCGGGCCGAGCCTAATTTACTGAAGTAAACCAACGCGAACCGGCCTCTTGAACCACAAACGCAAACACTTCGGCGCAGTGAGTGCCGATTGTGCAATGGCGGCGGGAAAGGTCGAAGAGGCAGCGATTCCGTCCGTAAATCCCCGAAGCCGTTATATAAAGAAGAGGGCTTTGAAAAACAAGGCTCTCGCCGTCACGTTTAACGAGAAAGACCTCAGGTAGTAAAAAAACCGCCATCACAAAATTTGCTCAGTGATGAAATCTAAGCTCTGAAGTTTGCTTCTTTTCGCATTTTTTGAATTGGGTTTTTTTGAATTTTTGGGTTTTGATGTTTTCTTGTTTTGGGTTCGTGGAGCGATTTCGTGTCTGTGTTTCACAAGAGGAAGAAGAAGAGGAGAAAGGAAGCTGAGCAGAAGCAAGGGGAGGCGCTGCGGCGGAAGCGTCTCGAGCTGCGCAAACAGGTTGGAATTTGTGGCTGTTTTTGGACCCTTTGATTGCCTCTTTTGCCTGTTGGTTTTTGGTGATCAAACAAATCTAAGTTTTCACTGTCTTACCTTTGGTTGCTTTTGTTGCATGGAGACTAGAAAAGGAACTGGTTCTTAGTGGTGGGATTGCCCAAGCCACCGATACAGCAGCTGATGAGGTTGATGAGGGTGTTGAGGAGCACGAGGATGATGAGATTAGTGAGACCTCTGGTGCTTCTAACCCCTGCTGTCGATCACCCCATAATGTTTACTTTTCATTGGTTGGTTCTCTGGTTTAGCGAGACACCGATCAGTTAGCATCAAGGCACTGTATTAATGTTTCTTAATTGCTATATAATCACATCACTTCTGACCGATCACAAAACCCTTCGTAATCATGTATGCAAGAGGCGAGTTATGTTTTCTTTATAGTGGGCGACCCTAGCCAACAATGCTCCCCGTTTTGCTAGGGTGGCGGGGTTCTGGTACGTAGTTGTGAAAACATATACGAACTTATCGGTGAATCCACCCTTGGATTTTATACGAGTAGGTGTGGATTCAGTTCATTATACCTGTATTGCTTCAGCTCATGCTTAATCAGAATTTGAGTTTAACCTTTGGTATTGCTTTAAGGTACAACAACATATGACAAGGGTGAGATGAAAGTCACTGTGACAACACATGATATTTTTCGAGAGGAGGAAAGTGATCGAGACGAAAAGACGGAGGCAGCAGTACCCGAATCAGTTGGAGCTTCTGAACAGCACAATGTACCTGTGAGGAAGACGAAACCTCCAAAAAAAGCTGCAAGGCGCAAATCAAGGCCCAAGCTGCAGCGTAAAAGAGATAAAAGGAAGGGAATAAAACCGACGAAGAACAAGCGCTAGCCACCGGTGTTCCTCGCGAGGCTGTGGGATCAGCTTGTCTTTCCTGTGTAGAATCATCAAGTGCATGAGATCGGCCGGCTGACCGGAAGTTCCATTTTGGTACATTTGGAGTCTTTGGCTGTCAGAATCATGCTTGTAGTTGTATGCTGCATTTGGAGTCAGTTGTATTAGATCTTTTATTGAAATGGGATGTTTTACATTATCCTCTTCTACATAATTTTTTTTTTTGGGTAAAATTACACAAAATTACCTCTTAACTGTGGGTCGAATCATAATCTCATACCTTATATTTTAAACATTGCAATGTCTAGGAGGGAGTGACAAAGGAGGCGAACAGAAATCTAGGGAGAAGATCAGCAATCTGGGGAGAAGGGAGAGATTATTTTTAAGAAAACTAATGAAAAATGTTTGAAAGTTTTGAGTTTTAACGATAAAAATAAAATAAATGATAAAATAAATAATATATGATTGATTTTTTAGTTTAAAAATATGGTTTTTCGTTAAAGTGAATAGTACCAAAAATTTTCGTTAAAGTTCTCTTATTTTAATTAATTTCATTATAAAAAATTATTTAATTTTTTCAATTAACTTTAATTATTAAATAAAAAATAATAATTTATCAATAATAAAAAAAATTTGTTAAAATAATAATTAATTAACTTTTTATTCTAGTGGCAAATGAGTGGGTTCTGCTTTTGCTACGTCATCATTTAACAATCAAATTAATAGAAAATTTAACGGAAACCTGATATTGCCATAAATTCATAGATTAAGATATGACATCATAATATTTAAAATATAAGGTATAAGATTATAATTCGATCCATAGTCAAGATATTTTTGTGTAATTTATTTATTTATTTATTTTTGCTCGTCGTCTTTTAGCCCTTACCTAGGCATCTTTGTTTAAGTCTTAATTACTCTTATGCAAGGTTTTATATGTGTGTGTATAAATTTTTACAATTCAAATTTAATAAAAATATCAAAATATATAATCATAGGCAATAATATAATTTTTCACAATTTTTTTTATTTTTTTATTTTTTATGCTTTTGCCCCTTATTTATATATACGAAAATTACTATCCTCTTCCCTCTAGTATTTTTCTCAACCGAAAGATGCAGCCTCTGTAATCCAACTTTTCATTCATTTACTGAACGTAATAAGTAACATTGTAAAATTAAAAAAATGATTGGAATTTAGCGTATTAGGTATGGACTTCTCTTTCGGTCTGAATTGGTTGAAAAATAGATTATGTAAACTTAATTAGTACATTTGTTTCTAAAAACGTAAAATGAGTAATATTTATGTAATGTTTGTATATATATATATATATTTGTAATATTAATTTTTAATAATATTTGGTGTATGAATGAATTTTTTCATGTATTTAACGATAGCTCGCCTGAGGTCCCCAAATTTTCAGGATCGGACCTGATGACCACTGTAGTTGTGTATATTGTCACAGAAAATTTGCGCATTGGTCTTATGAGTTTGCAGGAAGTAAAATTGAAGTCTGATACCTTAAGAAAAATGTTTGAGATTCTTCAGAGCCCCTGCATAAAAATCATAAATCGGACGGCTACGATCACCGAAACGCACAGATCCCCGGATCCTAACAAACACACAAGTCCACCCAAAGACTCACGTGGGCCAATCCATAAAAAAATCAAAAGATTCCCAAAGTTCAACCGCTCCAACGGTCCCGATCCGCCGATGGCCTCCCGCAAAAGATCTCAGCCACCGACCAGGCGGCAGCAAGAGATTCGCCACTGTTTGGATCGAGAGAAAATGCGATCCGCAGCACAGAGACAAAAAGGCCTCTCTTTCTCTCCTTACTTGTTTCAGAGACGCTAGCGACCGAGAAAATTCGCCGACCCTTCGCGGAAACTTCTCGGATTCCTCTCTCAAATATTTCTCAGGTTCATTTTTTTTCTCACTTTTTCCCGCTCGCTTTTTCTTACTTTTCCTTTTTTCCTTATCCGAGAATTCGATTCCGCACGTACCGCACATGGAATAAAGCGGAGAACGACTTGTGTTTTTGGATCGGTTTTTGTTGTTTGGTTGCTCGGAAAACAGAAGAAAATTGAGGATTTGAAATCCGAGTCGTTCTGTTGACTTTTCTTTGTTTACTGGTGTGTGTGTGTGTTTGCGTGTGGGAAGTGGAATTTTGAAACTTTGAATGTTGAATCTTCAAGTCAAGGTGAAAGTTAGCTCTGAGTGATTTGGAAGTTTTTGTGTGATTGTTTTTTTCTTTTTCCTTTCACTTTCTCAGCAACCAAACAGGAGGCTAAGTTTTTGAGGACGGTGAAAGAAGATGCAGACGAGGTATATGGAGAGATCGAATAGCATGGCGAGGGAGAAGCGAAGTTTGGATTCGTCTTCAGCTGAAGAAGGCCAGCCGGATAGGAAACGGCCTGCTCTCGCCAGGTGACTTTTTCTTTCTGTAAAAACTTGGATTTTGATGTAATTACAACTGATTTGTTAACTGTTTTAATGTATTCTGTTTGTAATTCAGCTGAAATGTATAATTGGGCATGAAATATTTTCAAATGTTGTGTTTATTTGAGAAAGCGCGTTGCTTGAAGTCCTGAACGGATAATGAATTGAATGTCTTATGAACGATGAATGTGAATGTTGTTTATTGAGAATTTTCAACTTAATGCAGTGTAATTGTTGAAGCTCTCAAGGTGGATAGTCTGCAGAAGCTTTGCTCGTCACTGGAGCCGATTCTACGCAGAGTTGTAAGACATTCTAATTTCTTGTGGACTTTTTGTTTTCTAATCCGTCACTGGATAGAAGAGGTTTAGATGACTTTTAAGTGTATTTTATTTGGCTGCTGTATGTTATTTTTCATTACGTCATGCACATACAAAAATGGTGAAGCGTTGTTTAGTGGCAAATTTATCTGACCTAAACATCGGACATAGAAAAGAGGCATTTCGTTTGTGTCAACGACTCAGCTGTCAACAAGTGTATGTGTTGAAGGCAAGCTGAATGCCTACTATAAGTCATAAGGGTCATAAGGGCTCTTGATAAAGTATTGGTGTGTATGACTTTGTAACCGCTTGACAAATTTTAATGCATGCCTAGTGAAGAGGATTTAATCCTTTGATATGTGCATACGGTGTTTGAAGCATTGGTTGATGTTTCTTACTTATTTTGCTGAACAGGTTAGTGAAGAGGTGGAGCGTGCTTTAGCAAAATTAGGCCCTGCCAAACTTACTGGAAGGTATCAACCCTTTTCATCCCTTATTTTTTAACGGGTTCTGATCCTTAGTTGTTTCCTTCTTGTTTTTACTTCGTTTAATCAGTGCTGCATGCCAGTAGTTTTGTTCTTATAATGGGTTTAAAAATAGCAGGTCTTCTCCTAAACAAATTGAAGGGCCCGATGGAAGAAACTTGCAGCTGCACTTTAGGTCCAGGTTGTCCCTTCCTCTTTTTACTGGTGGAAAAGTAGAAGGGGAGTGGGGTTCTGCAATCCCTATTGTCTTGATTGATGCAAATACAAAGAATGTTGTGACATCAGGCCCGGAGTCAGCAGTGAAACTTGACGTTGTTGTGCTTGAAGGTGATTTTAACAACGAGGATGATGAGAACTGGACTGAAGAAGAATTTGAGAGCCATGTAGTAAAAGAGCGTGAAGGAAAGAGGCCACTTCTTACTGGCGATCTGCAAGTGACACTGAAGGAAGGTGTAGGAACACTAGGGGAATTGACATTTACCGATAATTCTAGCTGGATTAGGAGCAGGAAGTTTAGGCTAGGACTGAAAGTAGCCTCTGGCTATTGCGACAACATTCGTATACGCGAAGCAAAAACAGATGCCTTTACTGTTAAGGATCACCGTGGGGAATGTGAGTTAATAATTAGTGTTATTTAACATTTCCTTTGTTAGTTGAAAAAAAATAAACATGGCAAGTTTTCTTTTGGTTTTTACAGTATACAAGAAACACTACCCACCTGCGTTAAATGATGAGGTCTGGAGATTGGAGAAAATTGGAAAAGATGGCTCATTCCACAAGAGACTGAATAAAGCTGGAATTGTTACAGTTGAAGACTTCCTGCGACTTGTGGTTAGAGACTCGCAGAGATTGCGGAATGTAAGATTTTGGAATTTGTTTGTCAAGTTCATATTTCGAAAATGCAATTCCTAATATTTTTATGCCCATTTGTGATAGATTCTTGGAAGTGGCATGTCGAATAAGATGTGGGATGTACTCATACAGCATGCAAAAACTTGTCTTCTTGGCGGGAAACTCTATGTCTACTATCCTGAGGATGCAAGGAACGTTGGTGTTGTTTTTAACAATATTTACGAGTTGAGTGGCCTAATTACCAATGAACAATTTTACTCAGCTGATTCTCTCTCGGACGATCAGAAGGTATATGACTTCTCTTTTCCTTTTTTCATGTATCTTTTATAGTGCCTGGATTTGCTATGTTTTATAATTTCGTGTTCCGTCTTGTGGTTGAGAGATGCTACTTGTCAAATGTTGTAAAGCTTGTAAACTTAATGAGATAGGATTCATTTTGTCCATATTGGCTATCCTTTCGCACTTAAGAATCCAGTCCATATGCATTTGCTATTTTATCTGTAAACAACACTCTTTCGACTGAACAGGTTACATCCCTGGTGAATGTATCTAAAATGATACAAAGTAGTAATGAGTCATGACCCCTCAAAGTGGTTGATTTGTGAATTTTTGTGTTTCTTACAGGTCTACGTGGATGGTTTGGTAACAAAGGCATATGAGAACTGGATGCATGTTATGGAGTACGATGGAAAGTCTCTTCTTAAGCAGCAGAAGAGTCCCGATGTTTCTCTACCTGAGGTTCCAATAGCCTCACAGGATTATCCAAACTCATTTGATCAGCAGTTCACTCTACCTAGCCTGCCAGCTTCAGTTTCTTCAGAACCGCCTACTATGGATTCTGGCCTAAATGTGGGAGGTATATCTTGCGACAAAATAATTATATCCAATGACTTTCTAACAAAATTTAATCCTCAGCCTCATGGACCAAAGCCCGGAGGTCATTATACACAAATAAGAATTTTCGGTGCTTGCATGAAAATTTGTGATTTTCATAAGTGGCTTGTGTGTTTTGGATAAACATCCGTTGCTAACGTGTGTAAATGCTCTTTTTCTCTCTAGGTTATACTGACGGCATGGCTAACAGATTCTCGGTGCAGTCACAGAATCTAAATCTCAGTGCTCCCAGTCAGCTCGATGGCTTGTCATTCCCTCTACAAAATCAGCAGCCTATCACTTCACACCAGTCTCAGTTTCAAGGAAATGAAAACATGCTTGCCCTTGGTCCACCACAGTCGTCCACATCTGGGTTCCAGAATATTGGTACATCCAATCCATCTTCTTATAGGGGAGCCGAGGACCTCTTCCCAGAGGAAGAAATTCGTATGAGGAGCCACGAGATTCTCGAAAATGAAGATATGCAGCATCTACTTCGTATCTTTAACATGGGCGGTCAGGGTCAGGGTCAAGGCCACGGTTATGGTCATGCCTCCATGAACATCACTGAAGACAATTATCCATATTCGTCACCATACATGCCCACTCCACAAGTGAACTACAGTGTTGATGATCAGAGCCGTTCATCTGGGAAAGCTGTTGTTGGCTGGCTCAAGCTCAAGGCAGCCCTTAGATGGGGCATATTCATCAGAAAGAAGGCTGCTGAGAGACGGGCACAGCTTGTTGAGTTGGATGATTCATAAATATGACTTGTACGAGGCAAAGCTGATCCAATTTTGGTGTCTCTAGCCTTCGCTTCCCCCTGCCTACCTTATTCCTGTCACGCCACAGCTTCTAACTGAGAGGACTATGGTTGGTGGGTAAAACCTCAAGTTCGAGAGCTCATGATGTTTCTTGGAATATAAGCCTTGGACATCTTGGGACCGCTCGCTTGTATAGTTCATGTGCAGTAAGCTTGTGTTTTCTGTCGACACCTCGCTTTTGCCGGTTTGTTTTACTGCAAAGGGTGTTGTTACAACATTCTTGCTTGCAAGTTCCGAAACCAAGACGAGTTGAGCTGTTTCAACTCAAGGCCTACGAGACTAGCAAGATTCCGGCGGGGAGTTTTTTACAAAGGTTTTTTCATGTTTACGTTTCCACGAAATGCAACCGGACAAGGGGATGTGAATTCTACACTTCTTTGCTAGTGTGCTGACCTTGTATTATGCTCTTAATAAGAGGTTTTATGTTGATTTAAATTCTATGTGCCATCAGAGCTTCAAACACTGGACCTTAACAATCATAACCGATTGAGTTACAAGTCTTTTTACGACACATCGTTAATTTTAGAATACGTACACTAGTCATTTTTCAGTTCTCTCCGTCTTGTATTTACAAAATTTAAATTTCGAACTTCGCAACAGGGGATCAAAATTACGATGCATGCTGAGAAACAAATGCAAAACGTATTATTTGGCCAGAACAAAAATATGATACACGCTAAGGAAGAGCAGGCAAAACATATTTGTTCCGGGAGTAAATTACAATGCAGTCACTCTGCATCTGAGACTTCATCTTCGTCTTCGTCCAGAATGTAGACCAAAACACGTTTTCTTGCAGCGAAAACACCTTCTTATTCTCCATTTCCAGGTGAACAACAACGACCTAAATGTACCCATTTCGGAAAGTATCATATACTGAAGAGCAGTTGAGCCATTGTATGACGGCGTGGGTTCAAACTCCGATGGCGGTTAATCTAACAAAATTTATCGTTTGACAAAAAAAAGAAGAAAAAAGTGCCTTAGGATATTCGACTCTTTCAAAAAAATAAATGAATAATGCACTCGCACAACTTCCCATTCTACCTCGCATTCAGGAAATAAGACGAATTCGAAAAGCATGAACGAAGAATAATCAGAAGAGGTCCATATTCGCATCATAAGTTTTAACTTCGTATCATGTAAGAGTCCTAATTGTTTGCATCAACAATTTCGAAGATTTGCGCAAGTCATCGATTCACAAATTTCACACCGACAAGCTTGCAACTTAACGGACTAATTAGCAAGAACACTATGTTTCTTAGGGAAAGATCAGGGTTCCATTCTGCAATTTTAATCTGCAATTTTTTGAGAATTCAAAGTTTCAAAGATAATTTTTTTTCCCTTGTAAAATTAATATATTTTGAGGGATTTGATTGCGGAAAATGTAATGTGAGAGAAAAACCTGAGAAGCAAATGGCTTGTCGAACTGAAGCTGAAAGGGAAGAACTCGCTGGGCCTCGTCGGTTTCCATGGCGAAATCTGCAAGCGCAGAGCTTTGCAATAAAACCCTGCTGCTAACACCCGAATGAATGGGAGCAAAAACGCCGACCTTTTGGAAGAGGGAGATGGTGACTGAACTGAAGCAGTGCTCTGAGAGAGAGAGAGAGAGAGAGAGAGAGAGAGAGATAGAGGGGGAGATTTGAATAAAAACAAATAAAACACGCCGTTGCCGGGGATCGAACCCGGGTCACCCGCGTGACAGGCGGGAATACTTACCACTATACTACAACGACTGAGTTGCTAGTTGCTGATGAAATATTCAATATCACTGTTACTTAATACTTTTTGTATCTCATTCATGCCCAAAACTTATGCTGCATGTATCACTTGGGTCCCTGTAATTTATATGGAGTATATCACTTTGGACCTATAGGTGTTATGTTGCGATTTAAATCTTGCAGTTTACTTATTGTTGCATTTAAAAAATAATGTCTCATTAGCTTACTACGTCACTGAAATGTAACCATAATAAAATAACAAAATTTTAAAAGTAAAAATGTACGAAAAAGTTATCAAACAGAAACAGTCATTTTATATATTGCAGACAATCAACGTGACATACATCAAAGTGGAAAGTTGCCCAAAATAGATAAAGAGTATATAATATTACACTTTGGCCCATAAAAATGAGAAAGAATTCATGGCATGTTTACCAAATTGGAATGAAGGTAGAAGAAATGGAATTGAATTCTTCTCTAAGTGATTCCAGCGTTTACCAAATTTTGGGAATGAAAAAATTAGTGAGCTCCACCTAAAATCAATAATCGGATTCCTGATATCCCCGAAATCCAAATACTGACGTTAAAGGTGGTAATTGAATTTCAGAAGAAAGCCAACATCCTGGAATCAAACTTCTCTATCGAAATTGGCCTGCCTCTCCCATTTGCCTCCCACGATTAAACCACCCAAAGCACACACCCATCCCCACCCTTAACCAGCGCAAACCACCGCACCACCTCCTAGACTGCCAAGACCTATCACCCACTAGCGAAGCTACAGAGGGACCGCCCATCCGCTCGTCTGAAATTGCCACTGAAAGTCAAGATTCTGCCCCTCAAATCTTTTGAACCTGCATGAAACTGGGCATGCTACTGCATTTATGGAAGCTTTGATGCTACCCTTCAACAATATGTCGCTCGTCGAATCTAGAAAGTTGAAGCTTAGACAGAGAGAATGAGAAATAGCTAGAGAGACGAGAGAGAGAGAGAGAGAGAGGGCATTCTATTAGTTGTTTAATCGACAAAAATCGACGACGACCCACCACGAGATGAGCCAACATCATCACACCACATGTTCGGCTTTTCTATTAAATGATTGGTCCATCAGTATCAGCGTACTGAGAGATTCACATCTGAAAGTCTCACCACTCAAGCCTTCTCTCAGATTCCTAGCAAATGGATACCAAATTCTGTGCTTCAGAAATCATGGTACCACCTTAGGCTGTCGGTAAGGCACCCGACCCGGCTTCCCACTTAGGACGCCATCGTATTGACGACGATGAGCGAGACAGTGCTGAACGGATGGAGAGAATGAAGTGAAAAGGAATTGAAAAAAAATAGAAAAAAATGATGATGCGGAGAACCGTGGGTTCCAGAAAGCTATTGGGAGACCTATTTCAGTGAAAAAAAAATGCATCAATATTTTCCAATGGTGCCAGCCAACCAATATTTTCCAACAGGAATTGTTAGTATTTTAATAAAACTGTATATGTATTTATGTGTGTATGAAATTGTATTAAAAAGTTATGAATTTTTCTATTATTTAGATTAAGGGTATTTTAGTAATCATATTAATTTTCATTCCGATTCAGGTGAATTGGTAAACAAATTATATGAATTTTGTTTCATTTTTATTTCGATTTCAGAATATTTAAGTAAACAGTTTCACTAAAAATCTAATTCTGACTCCTCAATTCAATTCCTCTATTTTGATTACGGTTACGTAAATGTGCCCTCAAGGTAAATTCTTTTGCTTAAAATTGAAGGAGCATTGCTACTATTATTTGGTAGTATTCATCTTCACTTGTAAGGAAGATGTTTTAGATTCGAATCTTGACGAATTGGATGTACTCAAATAAATTTAAAAAAAAAAAAAAAAAAAAAACCTGAAGCAGCATTCCCTATTTTTGGCGGTAATACCCAAACCCAGCAAGCTCTCACTCATAGCTGATCAGCAAGCCTCAATAGCTTGAACGATGGCCGAAGAAGAAGAGCGGCAGCAGTACCAACCCAATTCGCCCTCTCCAGATACGGAAATTACAGAAAACCCAACTCATCAACAGCAAGAAGACTACTCTTGGCCGGCGATACGGTTCGATGTTCATCCGCACAGAGCCTTCCATTTCCGCCACCAGTTCCGAACTTCCCCAATTCCGAACAACTTTCTCAAGGGCGTCAAATGGTAATTCCTTTTGCATCCCCCTTACTTTCCCATCATTTTTTTTTCATAAATTTGTTGTCTTTTTATTTGGGGTTTTAATTTTTTTGGCGTAGGTCGCCGGATGGGTCGTGCTTTCTTACCTGTTCCGAGGACAACACGCTTCGTGTTTTCGCATTGTAAGTTCTCATTGATTGACGGCTTTTGTGTTATTTTTGTATGGGTTTTTGAGTAAAGCACTACCATTTGATTTGGGTTACAATTTGGGGATTTTGTTTCTGACCTTCAGTACTCAAAATGCATATCAAAAACCAAGCTTTTCGCAAATCGCTGGCGGTGGTGTTTGCTAACTCTACTCTTGCTTCGTTTTTATCAGACCAGATTATGGGAGTGAGAATGCTAATGAGTGTTCTGTAGCTGCTGATGAAGGTAAGTTCTCGCCCCGAAATATATTTGCTTTGGAGTTTATTGTATGCCAATCTGCCAAAAGAAGACTTGTTACTGAAAGTTTTTGTTTGGTATTGTTTGAGCGAAATTTTTCGGGGATGAGCTATGTGTGATTGATTTTGTATTTGCATGTAAGAGTAATCATCTTTTTAGTCTTTATATGTTTGTACTCTTGAGCAGCAGATTCGTACGCTGCAAACCTTGTTGTGAACGAGGGAGAGTCTGTATACGACTTCTGTTGGTACCCGTACATGTCTGCTTCAGGTACTTTTGTAACTCTTCTAAGAGGGACAATTTGTTAAGTTTATTCTTTATTGTGACGATGAGAACCTGAACTTGATATTCAGGATATTTACTTTAGAGTGGCTGATATGATTCTGTAAGCTAAAGCTTGATTTGGAATTTTCTACGACGTTGCAGACCCAATTACCTGTGTTTTTGCAACTACATCTCGTGACCATCCAATTCATCTTTGGGATGCTTCTTCTGGACAGGTGCTGGCTCATTATTGCAAATCTAGATCACTCTTTTCCCATGTGTACACTATACACAGCTCTTATATGTATTTTTTGGGTTAATGTCTTATTTACACCATTGGTCTTGGGCTGAAACTGCAGCTACGTTGCACTTATCGTGCTTATGATGCCGTGGATGAAATCACAGCTGCTTTTTCAATTGCCTTTAATCCTACTGGAACAAGGTAAGCAATATTCCTTTCCTTTCCTTTTCAAAGCTTATATTATTCAATTGCATGTTTTCTACTTTGTTTTTATGTGACTTCAGTTGTTTTGTAGGATTTTTGCTGGATACAACAAATCTGTTCGGGTGTTTGATTTACACAACCCTGGTAGGGATTTTGAACAATATTCGACCCTTCAAGGAAACAAAGAAGGCCAAACAGGTACATGTTATCAGTTTATCTCTGAATTCTGATGATAAATTAAGAAGATGTGCAAGTGCTCAATGTTTCTCAACATTTTTATTGTGGACAGGTATTATGTCCGCAATGACTTTTTGTCCAACCCATAGTGGAATGCTTGCTATAGGTTCTTATAGCAAGACTGCTGCAGTATATAGAGAAGATAATATGGAACCCTTGTATGTATTGCATGGCCATGAAGGTGGGATTACACATGTAAGTTATCGTTTCTTATTGTTCATTTCACTTCGATCATAACTTCAACAGATGAATTGAAGCTTTTGCTTTCAGGTCCAGTTTTCAAGGGATGGAAATTATTTATATACTGGAGGCAGAAAGGTAAAATGCGTTTACATGCTCCATCGTTTTTGGTTTGTCTTTTATTTTTAATTTTTTCTGGTATTCGGTTATTTAATGGATATACAGTAAACCAGTTATATATATATGTGTGTGTGTGTCATATTTGCATTTGTGCTCTTGCTTTCGATTCTAAATGTGATTGACTTTGGCTTCCATAAATTACTTGAAGGATCCTTATATATTATGCTGGGATATACGCAAAGCGGTTGATGTTGTGTACAAGTAAGATATTTTTTCTTTCCTTCTCTAATTTAGAAAACTATCTAGTCTTTTGTACATTGGAGGTCTCTTCTGGTCACGCTACTTTATTTGGCCATGGAATCAGGTTATATAGGTCATCGGAAGATACCAACCAACGGATTTTGTTTGATATTGAGCCACTTGGACGCCATCTTTGTACAGGTGGTCAGGTACCATCTTACCTTTGAATTATGTTTCAATGTCCAAATATGAAGCCACAAACCAAGTCAAAACTCCAAACCCTGCTTCGAATGTAATGAAACAATTATTTAATCGTGCATATGTGTTTTAGGATGGTGTTGTGCATATCTATGATCTGCAAACTGGCCAATGGGTATCAGGCTTCCAAGCGGCATTGGGTAATTCATTTCATATCCTATAAAAAACGTTAAAAGTGCTACTGCAATATACCTTAGTCTCTTCTTTGCTGACTCATTCTTCTGTTCTATACGCCACACAGATACTGTTAACGGATTCTCCTTTCATCCCTTTCTGCCAATGGCTACCACTTCTTCAGGGCATCGAAGATTTGTTGATCCTGATGATGGCAATGACGAATTGCATCTGAGTGGTACATCCTATAACCCTAATGGTTTTCGGAGATACTTCTGACAAATCACATTGTATATCCTTCCAATTTTAGTCTCCTACATAAATCATGTTTGTTTCTGTTCGTGTCATTTTCTCCACTCTTTTTTTCCCAATCTACATCTTGTCCTTTTTCCGTTGATCTTGTCGTGGTGTTATGTCCCCCAATCTTCTCAGGCCCTTCAGATGGCATGAAACTAAATGTATCACTTGTTAAAAGAATGAAGTTTGTCATTAGCTCCTAAGCCGGTTTATCTGAGCTGCGTGCATAATTTTCACTGGATAACATAAGAAAGGGTCAGTGATTCACGGTACTAATAGAAGGTTAATTGTCCCGTGATATGCAGCTGACGAAAATTGTGCTTCCGTGTGGAGCTTCTCTGTTGCTTCAATGGTGGAGAATGATGGTGCAATGGACGGCGATGATTATAACAGCCACAACCTTGACCAGCATCCCTAGACAAACAGCCATGGCGAGACTTCGTTATGGAAAGATCGATGGAGATGTGTGCATCATTTGACTAATTGTTGTACATGAATTGAATTAGAAGGTTATGAACACGATCATTCAATAGGAAATGACTTCATGCATCGACTTGTTAAAGTACAACCCAAATATTTGAGCTCAATTTTTATGGTATACGGGAAACGACGCGTTTTACAAATCCTCAATTTTTTTACATTTTTTTTCGTCTTCTAATTTCACGAGAAAAGTGAGATTGAAGTGAGTTTTAGTGAGCGTTTCAAAAAATAAGTTTTTATTTATTTATTTATCTAATACATACTTTTGTTATGTGATACAGTTTTTTTTCTATAAAAAAAAAAAGAATCAGCTTGTGATTTTGCTACGACAATCTACATACTAACATTTCAATCTCTCTTGGCTATCATCATATGATTTACAAGCGTCAAAAATTAAATTATAACGTGCTTTATGGAATACGGGTATGAAATTTATCCCTAACCACTAAGCTACCTTGTAACTACTCAATGGAACACCGACCTCAAATCTAGTTTCTGATTTCTCAAATTTACCAAATGTAAGACTAATTGTTGTTCCCTTGTGGCTTTTTTGTCTTCGACGGAAAATGACATGCTTTTTTGCTAGCTCCCGACTTTTTTGGCCTCCTCAAATCTTGCTAGTTACTTCTAACTCAAACACTCCTCATGACACAATGATTGCGATTTAAAAACTAATGATTTTTAAATTCATATGCATTTCTTTTTATCTAAACGAGTTCTTAACTCGATACGAAATGACATGAAAATAACAAATTTCTGATTTACTTATTAACAAGTTAAGTTGATATCATTTCATTCGTTAAGAACTAAAAAAGATGTCATTTATCATATCTTAATGACCATTTCTTGCATGACCAGTTAAAACGATACGAAACGACAAAATTCGTTAAAGTCTTGATCAAGCGACACCATGATCCATCTACGAATGTTCGCAAAGGAAAATATTGGGTTAAAAACAAAATCTTAAGTCAAGGGATAAGTATGAACCTCTTGCAAGTTGCAACTAATAACTATACATGCTTTTCGTATTTGACGCGTCCACGGTTTTGACGTGTACGTGTTGCTGCTGCTAATGCAACAGCCGTCAGCCAACAGATCTATAATCCTCAGTCAAACGACGCCCACCACCAGTCATAAATTAGAAAAACATAAAATCCTCACCGTCCATCGACATCATACACACACATGTCACGCCACAAACGAGTCAAGAAAACTCCACCACCAGATGAGATCATGAGACTGTCACTTTATTTTAACCCCAACCCAACGTGCTAAGAAAGCTACCGACACAGCCGACTCGGACCGACCACATAGCCATGTCATCACCCACGGCGGCACCGGTGCAGCTTCCTACCTGCGCTCTCCCTCCGCCGCGTGTCCGCTCAACGGCTAGTTTTGCTTACCCTCCTATTTTTTCAATTTTTTTTTAACTGCCCAAAAGGATAAATTAGAGGAACCCGAGATACTTTTCACAGAAAGTTCGAGTCGATTCCGCGAACCGCGTAGAATTTACCAGTTTTCGCTTTTTAAAAAAAATAATAAAAAAATAATCTTTTCGCTCCGTGTATAAAATCCAAAAGCCTCCTTCTACTGGTGGAAAAATCGGTTTCTCTGTTTCCATTCCACGGCAAATACACACAGAAGAGAGAGAAAGTCTAGAGAGAGAAAGAGATAGTGTGAACAAGGCTCGAATCTAACGCAAGGTTTCTTACTCTATTTGCTTTTGGATTTTCACTTTCTCTAGATTTTAGAAATTTTCAGAATCTGGTTTCAATAGATTCTGCTTTTTTCTTGTTTTTTACTGTTGTTTGTTGTCTGATTCGATTTTTGTTTTTGGATTTAGAGATTACTGATTGATTGGAGCAAAATGGCGTTGGGAAGGAAGTGCAAGAGTTGCTTGACATCCAAGCGCGGCGCCGGCGGAGTGACGGCGGAGGCGGAGGGGACGATGGAGTTAGGGTTTGTGAAGTACACGCGAGCTTTGGGGAGGAAGAGGATTGGGATTTCTAACAATGGCGAGGAGGATTCGCCGGCTGATTTGTATCCCAAGACTCCATTGAAGAAGCAGCGGAGTGGGGAGATGATTTGGGAGTCGGAAACTGCCGCCTCCTCCGCTCTAGAAGCTTTGCCTCAGGAGATTCTGGTTAGCCCCAAATTCTCAATTTTTTCGATTGCAAAATCAATGCAAAATCGATTTCGATTTAATTCGTTGCTAATCATGTTACTATTTTTGTGCATTGCAGTTGAAGATTGTGTGTGGAGTCGATCACGATGATTTGAAGCAGCTTTTCCATGTATCGAAAGCAATTAGAGAAGTGGTGAGTCTAATCAGTTCAATTAACTTGAGTAATTGATTTTTATTTGTTTTAGCAACTGGCATTGATTTTGATCTTTCCTACTGTGCGATCGCAGACTCTGATTGCTAAGCAATGTCATTTCGCTTACAGCACGCCTTCGAAAACCCCAGCTTTCCGAACCGCCATCGATTTCTCAGATTCCAACTGCTGCCTGGACGACATTGAAGCTCCGAATGCTCCGAAACAGTGGAGGCAGATGCACAGGAAGTTGCCTAACGGGAAGAAGCTTGCTGGGTTGTCTGTGAACTTGTTTGCCTCGTGGGACGAGGAGGAGGAGGAGCAGGAGCAGGGGACTCGAAAAGGGCTGTTCATGGAGGAAGACGATGAGTGAGTCTGCAAATATGCAATGTGGGTACTGTAAATACAAACTCATACTTGTGATTTCATAGTTTTCGTCGATTAGGTAAAGATAGAAAGCAGCAGAGTATGTGCATAACAGAGAAATATATTGTCGCAAGCAGTTTCTTCAAAGCTATCATTGAAGACCATAAACTTGCTCGTTCATCTCTTTTTGTACATGTTTTGAAGAGAGAGAGAGAGAGAGATTCCACTATTCACAAGTTGTTTGTTAAGGGCTAATCTTGTGCCCTTCCCACTCGGATAATGAATGTAGAATGTGTACAACATTCGTGTTTTTTATGAAATGAAATGATGTTTTCATGTACTTGTTCTTTCTTATTTCATAAATATTGGTTTTACAGTGGAATTTCAATTTTTTTTATAGTATCAGAACATGTTGTTTTACGTGTGAAATCAAATGGACACATGTATTTCACGTCATCCTGTTGTGTTGTTCACATGTTAGGCTTGAAAATTCGTCACACGTGAGAGGAGTGTGTTGAGAATAAGTTCTACATTGATTAAAGAAGAGACCTTGTATGAGTTTATAAAAGGTTGGACTATTCTTCACACTTGTTTACGTTTTTCATATTTATTTTAATTTTTAACCGTCAGATTCAACGTAACTTTTAAAATATGAATTTGATGACGACGGTATAATCAAATTTTGGGAATTGGGACATCATCGGTGGGCGGATGTTATTTAGAGCAATTGATGGGAACTGGGAATTTACTATATCGGCTGTACGGAGTGTATGTGGACATTGCCTAAATTTTAGCTGTTCTAATTAAATCATTCTTCCAATGAAAGTAAGGCTGGTTTGGTTCAAATGTCTTCATAACGCTTTCCGATAAAATATCTTGTTTTAATTGCTATGACTTGCATTTCCTTTTAGAGTTCGTAAGAAAAGCATCCGAATATGGGCAACAAGAAGGGAAGCTTCAACGTGTGCAATGACGTGCTAACGGAGTCACACAATTATTAAATACTGTATGTAAAGTCTCGTAGCGTAGACTTGTGAGTAAATAAGACATTAAAATGATTAAGTGCGTTGTAAGAAAATTTAAGTTGAGCAGGTGACGTTAAATTAAACAGAGTCGCTTTGTTTTTCAACTCTGTCACCTTGTTAATCAATTCTCATCTCAAATTTACACGTAGCTTTTAAAATGTGAATTTGATCAATAATGTTCTAAGCAATTTTGGGCTACAAATTAGGCGTTTGGGTTTACATGAGTGGGTACAACGTCAATCTAACTCAACTCAATAAATGATTAGGTTGATGGCAAATAGAGTCAGGATGATTTTGATGAAATTCTCACTAGCCAATCGGGTTTTAAGTCGGGTTGATCATAGACAAGTTTAGGTTGATTCTTATGTAGTTGCTCCATGGAGTTTGTACAAACATTATTTTGTTTTTATAGTTAAAGTAAAAAAAGTATAATATTAGTGAGCAAGGAGGAAAGGTGGGAAATAGATATTTAAACTTCGAGTAGTGATAATATCCGTAACCATTATCACCTAAAAAGAAATATCGAACCAAGAGAAAAAAAACTAATTTAAAAAAAAAAAACAAAACGAAAGAAGTCCGCGATACAAATACAAATGGAAGGCCCATATATGCAGCCCATTTTACAAAGCCCAAAATTTTAAGTGTTTCAAATCTTAGGCCCAGAAAATTTCCACCGCCATTATTCAACCCAAAATACAAATTCTGACACCTATAAATACAACGCCAATTAGCCAAAAATCTGACATAACCGTCTTCGTTTCGCGCGTTTTATCTCTCTCATATATCCGTACCGTTTCTTTTCTGTACTCTCTCTAATGGCCTCAGCGAAACGCGAAGCTTCTCCCAGTGAAGACGAACCGCAGGAGGCCCTGAAGAAGGCCAGGGTCGCCGGCGACGACGTTTCGTCCTGCTCGTCGTCCTCAGAACCCGTAAACCGGAAGCAGCGCTTAGTGCTCAATCGCGCCGACTGTGCCCTGGGTGTTTTGAATTTGAATTTTCCTCTGTCATTACCCTAAACGCTGAAAATTTAATTGCTGCGATTGATGAATTGAATTGGTTTTTTTATTTTTTTTGGTGGTAAGATTTTGTAATCGAGGGCAATGAGCGTCGAGGATCTGCACTTTGCGATCAGGGCTTTGCTTATTGCTGGTCCGGAGCTCGAGCGAATATGGGGATTAATGGAGGGAAGTACTGTTTCGGCTGCAAGATCGTGTCTTTTCAATCGGTGGACATGGAGGATACTAAACCTGATCAGCAGCATCTATGCCGACTCGGAATTTCGAGAGGGGATGATGCGGTTGGGGAGTCGGGGGTTTTTCCCTCATGTTTTGTTGAAAAATGTGGTCGTGGAGTTGCAGTTCAGTGTTGAAGATGGACTTGTTGCTGAAGAGGGTTTTAAGCCTTGGGCATGTGCACTTGAGGATGGAAATGCAGTGATGGGACCTGCTTTTTTCGGACCCGAGGGCTTGTGAAGTGGTTATGATGGTGGGTTTGCCTGCATCTGGAAAGACTACTTGGGCAGAGAAATGGGTGAAGCAGCATCCTGAGAAGCGTTATATTTTGCTTGGGACAAATTTAATTCTCGATCAAATGAAGGTGTGTGCGATTGTTTAATGTTCTTGTTTTATTTTGTTTTCGCCATTCTAGTGCACTCACTAGAGAGCTTCTAGTGGTGTTTGTTTTATCGACCAGTATTTAATTGCAGAGTGTGAAACTGTGTGCAGGTGCCAGGGCTTTTGCGCAAGAACAGTTATGGGGAACGATTTGATCGCCTGATGAATCGAGCGACCTGATATTTTTAATGTCCTTTTATCCAGAGCAGCCACCACACCTCGCAATTACATAATTGATCAGACAAATGTATACAAGAGTGCTCGTAAACGTAAACTTAAGCCATTTGTTTTCTTCCGGAAGGTAAGCTACGTGTGTAAATTTATATGGAAAGATTTGTATTCAGCTTACTTAACCATATGGGTAATTTTGTGTTTTAATTTTCAATTCCAGATTGCTGTTGTGGTGTTCCCAAGCCCCGAAGTGCTGAGTGTTCGTTCCAAGAAAATAATGGAAGAAATGGGAAAGGAGGTCCCTGTTGAAGCAGTAAATAATATGTTAGGTAATGGATCCTCCACCATCTTTGTTCTTCTAATGTTTATCATGTTGTTGTATTTAAGAGGCGTGTTATATTTTTGGCAGCCAGTTTTGTTTTTCCTGTCAGCAAGGATATGCGTGGTTCAGATGAGTACTTCGACGAGGTAAATTACTGACAAACAGCACACTTTGATTGTTCTATTTGTGTTGTGGCTAATTCTTGTTTTCTTCTATAAGGCTATGTTTGTAGAACTCAACAGGGAAGAGTCACAGAGATATTTGGATGAGATGAAGCGGTCACTCGCAAGCAATAACTCTAATACGTATTCTGTTGGAAGCTCTGTTCCTACGTTCTCACCAAATTATGGGCAAAGTCTTGTGCCGCCAATTCCTCCGCCTGCACCTAGGATGACCGTGGTGCAGCCATATCCTATTCCTTCGCCTGCTGCAAGGGCTGTTAACCCTTCTGGAACTTATTATGGCTACTCGGGCAGTTACAGTGGTGTTCCTAGGGGAGTTACAGATCATTACCAGAGTTATGGACGACCAGGTGCCCCAACTAACCCCTACGGTAGTAGTACCAGTGGAGCTTATCCAGTAGGCAGTGCAACAACTTCTTTCACAGGCAATGCTTACGGACATCTTGGTGGTGCTGGAGATCCCAGAAGTGCTGCTCCCTGGGCTCCAATAGCACCTACATTTCTTCCCAATCCTTCCCCACCTGCACATGGAGGTAACTTCATTGTAAATTATCGTTACGTGTATCTTTAGATGCTTTATACTATGCTCATTGTGTGATTGGCTGTGATTCAGGCTTACCGTATGGAACTCCAGCTCCTGGTCCTCAGTATGGACATCTTCCTCCTGTTAACACTTCATATCATGGAGGCCATTACCCTCCTAGGCCGGGGTAATACTACTGACAGCTATAAAGATTTGACGGTCATCATCTTGACGCCTTAGGCTACCCCTCCGGACAGACTATTCACAAAACAGGAAGAACTAGAAGGTAGATTGGGTTTCATGAACTGCTGCTTCTTGCAAAGCATGATAGCTTGTAAGATTTCGAGGGAGGGAGGGAGATAGGTAGTTGTATATTTTCAACTCTAGGTTGCATATGACTCTGCATTTTGGTTCTTTCATCAACAATTAACGTAAAATCGCATTATGATATCATAGTGATGCTTAAGTAAAATTAAGTCATGCCCGGCACTGCTTGCGGAAGTGCTAAAAGCGCTTTGTGACAACCAAAAAGTGTTTGTGAGTGGTGTGGTTAATAAGAATCGCCAAAAGCTGATGCGGTTGTTTGGTCTTGAAATTGAAGGGTCCCAAACCATGTGATAGAGGCCCATTTCATTTGGATTTCAACCTTTGAATTGGTCGCGTTATATTCGTTGTCTGCCACAACCAGAAGCAGCTCCACTGTCGTTTCATTTTCCCATCGAACTAGCTAGAAGTGATCGACATTGAAAAGAACACTCAAGCATCTAAAAGCTTGGTTTAGAGTTTAGAATTTAGATAGGTGTGCAAATTGGATTGAAATTTTGATTTCACCCTGTTATGATCCGGTAATTTTCGACTTTGGAAGGCTTGAAATTCTCAAATCCAAACTTTTTTTTTCAAAGTATTGAAAAATTGGAACCTACTTGGAAATTCCAAAGTTCTAAAATTTCGAAATACATCGGGTTTCCAATCTTGAAGCACATAGAATGACTAAGAGAAAGAATTATTGCTTTGGGTTAAAGAACTCAAGAACAAAGCAATACTCAATGCAAGTGGTGGATTGTGTTTCGAATTTAAATATTCATCTTCTTTACAATATCGTTTATAATGTAAAAAAATAACCATTGAATTTTCAAGCGTGAACTATGTAAGCATCTCTCTCATATATTGTTTCACTCAATTATATCATGTATCTCCATTAATCCCCCATACATGCATACAATATCAGAGCTGAGGAGCATGCTTTGGTTGGAGAGGTTCTTTTTTTTTTTTGGTAAAAGTTGGAGAGGTTCTTCATTGTGCTCGGGATATTGAATGGTACACCACATGTTATTATACCATTCGAGATTTTTTTTTTCCCCAATAATCCCTTTAATTGTATAATAACGTGTGATGTTCCGCCACATATTCGGACACTAAAAACTCTCTTGATTGGTTGATATTAATGTCGTTTCACTTCCAATCACAACGCCTGCATTATTTTCTTCCAAGTCAAGTTAGGATTTAGTGGTTGACAAGTTTCAGGTCAAATCAAACCTAGATGTTATAGAACACGAAAAAAGAAGTCTCCATTCTCTCCTGTCTTTTCCAATTAGCCTTTGCAGCACTATAACAATTTTGGGTACACCAGTACTTTACCAGCGGTTGCACATGCATTCTAACCAAAGTGGATTCCCATTACCATACCACCTTGACATCGTTTTTAATGTGTTAAAAACACGACTAACTAAGCGTCATAATACAATTAGTTGAAAATTAATTTTTTAAATTTTCCAACCAATTGTATTTATTACGCAATCTCTCCACTAATTGGCAATGTGTTAACCCTCACATATTTCTGTGAACGAGAGTCGGGATTCTTAGTTTCGTTGTCACTCTTTAGCACATTGGTAAAACGGTCGGGTGTTAACTAACTCTCCATTTCAGAAAAGTCATATGCATTCTTCAATTGGAAGGAGTGCCTGACGATTGTTTTGAAATACCAATAATAGTTTTGTTAACAAATTTGTTAGAATTTATTGTGTTTTAGTGTGCGTGAAACAAGTTCTGGTACACCAAGTATCATATTACAATTAGTTAAAAATTATTTTTTTCAAGTTTTCAACCAATTGTATTATTACTTGGTGTACCAGGCCGTGTTTTTGACACATTGAAAAATCTATCCACTAATCAGCTAAGTGTTAACCCTCATATAATTCTGAACCAAAATCAGCATTCTTAAGTCGATTGTCACTCTTTAGCTCATTGGTAGAGCGGTTAGTCTGTTAACTAACTCCGTATTTCAAAAAAAAGTTATTGCACTCTTCAGTTGGAGAGAGAGCACGACGATTGTTTTGAAATACCAATTATAGTTTCCCTTACGAATTTTATTAGAATTTATGGTACTTTGGTTTCCAATCATATAATTGGGATGGCAAGCAGTGCAATATAAGTTGCTTCAGCCTTTATGGCATCTAACGAACACCCCCTTTGATTTAACTTTAAGGCCAAGAAAGCGACATGCAATATCATTTGGCCATAACTTGAGGATGGCATTGAATCGGTTTCCTATCTTTCAAAGCACTGTCATTAGTTTTAAGGCACATCACATCCCCATTACTTGTCATTAGTATTTAGACAAGATGATTAATATTTTATGAACTTTGAATATAGCGTTGAATAAAATAACGATGCATGTTATTGTATTAGTAAATTCGTCGTATTACTTTGTAATGTAAAAGTGATACGACAGAAATACAATTATAGTTAAAATGGAAAAGGACTAGTTAGATGTATCGGATGATTGGTGGTGACCTTCTGAACTGATTAAGTGAATGTGACAGATTAAATTCATGAATGCAAATAATTATATACATCTTTTAAGGTTGATCTCAAACCCTAGATTTTATGGGATAAAGGTCACCTTGGTAAATGCGTATCAAGCTACCACTTACATGGTAGAATGACACTTCATCTCCTCTCCTAGGGAAAGATTTTTTAATGTACCATAAATACAGCTTGGTACATTAAGTATTATAATATAAGTGGTTCGATACTTAAAAAAAAAATTATTTTGCTTGAATATCATCTTTTGTTGCTGACATGAGCTTCACTTTCGATTGAAATTATGTTTTAGCTTTTTGACGTATTCGAAAAGAAAAATGTTATATTTTACTCCAACATAACATTTGAATCCAAACTTTATAGTAAATTAAAATCGACATAATGCAAGACTTCTATCTGCGATATATGAAACGCTCAACATTAACTTCCTCCTATTCACATTCCTTTCCCAAAACAGTAATGTTAGATAGGCCAATTATTTAGATCAAATTCGCAAACTGTGTGATGTATCACTAATAAAAAATAAACACGTTAATCAACAGTTAAATAGTAAATCTGATCATGAGCAACAACGTTATATAATTTACAAAATTAATTTAAATAGTTTATCTCCCTAATGTTACACTTTTCAGAAAAAAAAAAAAAAAAGACTCTAAAACTCTAAAACCCCACAACCCAATCATCTTCCAAAGCCGACACTCTCAATCCATCTCTCCTCCTCCTCCCTCAGTCTTTTTTATCTTCTTCCACCTCCAATGGAATTTGTTTTTGCTTTCTCTTGATAAAGAAAGACCACATATTTTCATGGAAGAAAATGCGAGTCTCATCATCTGGGAATCCAATTCCATAACTTCCATTCCAAACTTACTACTTTCCGAAACCATGACCAACTTTTGTGCTTCAATTTCCTCAAGCCCTCTGTTTTCCAGCATTGTCGCTCTCTGCGCTCTGATCCTCGTCTACTTCCCCAACCATTTCCTCCAGATCATTTTCTCGCCGGTCCTGATCATCACCGGATTTCTCCTCGTCTCGATTCTCCGCCTCGGCGCAGTTCAGAGAATCGAAACGGAAGGCGATGAGCTAAAAGAAAAGGAAACCAATCGCTCTGTGCTCGAAAGCGAAGAAAACAGGGGAAACTGCAATGGAGTCCAAGAACAAATCCCAAGTTTGCAAGAGGACCAAGATCAAAGATTTTTGGACTACCAATCTGAAACAGACTCCGAAGGTGAAGCCGGTTTCGACCCGAAGCCGTGCTTCGAAGACTTGTTCGTCGAGTGGAACGTGAAGGCGCCACTGGAGGTCATTTATGAAGAGTACGAAGGTGAAGAAGATGAGGTGGAACCGAATGGAAACGATCCGGACTCGAATCGAAAGGATGGAAACCAAGTTCTGGGTCTTGTGAAGCACCCTTCGTTGTCGCTGTGTTACCCGGAGTCGGACTCGGATAGCTCGTCGGATGGTGGGTTTTCGGTGCCCGGAGTGTGGGACTCGCCGGATGCGATGTGTTTCCGGTGGGAGGATGATAGAGAAGGGCTGATCGAGATTGCTCTGGACGGCAATTCAAAGAGAGGCGAATTGGATTTTCGGGTTGATCACGATCACGATGAAGAGAATTTGATAGAGATTGATATATCTCCGACGAGAAAACAATGAATTTTGCGACGACAAATGGCAGTTTGACGGCGAGCTTAGGTTCAGCTAGTGTTGGATTGGTAATGAGATTAATATCAATACAAGATGGATATGTTTTTTGTTCCAAAAAAAAAAGATGGATTATGTTTTCTTGTTTTATGCACAGTAATCAACATCAGATTAATTTAAAGGCTTTTAAACAGAAAGAGTCATGAGATTGACATAACTATTATTTTAATCTTAATTAACTTTGTCTAACGTAAATATTTAAGTTCTTTCGTGAAAAATCTGTCATACACTCGTTAAGTAGATGAGTTGGTTTAAAAAAAATACCTTTAAAATGGTAGTCATGTAGTAGTTGATGTGGCCGTTTAATAATAATGTTCACATATTTTTCGCGAAATGATTAAAATAATTTACGGTAGATAAATTCAAAAATCACTTATATCGTTGCTACTTAATACTACGGTCTAATAGTATATTATTGATAGCTCATTGCAAGGTTAAGCTCATCTCTTTTCCCTTAATGTAAATAATATTGATAGCTCATTGCAAGGTTAAGCTCATCTCCTTTCCCTCAATGTAGATAATATTATGTTAAAAAAAAAAAAAAAAAAAAAAAAATTGAGCATATCATTTTAGTTAATTTAACTATGTCCATATCTGTAGGGAAATTTTATTTATTTTTTTGAGATTGTGAAAATTGGAGTGTTTTGAGATGTTGGTTGAGAGAAAAACTTGTGTGGGGCTTTACTTGCCACTGAATTTTGCTGAATGGCACTATAATCCAATGATGTATATCTTTTTCTTTCCCCACCCCCCCCCCCCAACCCTTTTTCTTCCTAAATTTCCCTCTAGTACGTTTGTTTTGCCGTCCACTTCTACCATCATGTTAAAGATGGATAATCAACCAAAATAGTTGTACTTCAACCAAAATAAAGTGAAGGATAACCAATAAATTGTGAAAAGATAAACTCGATAGTATGGAGTGAGTATGCAAGATTGTATTTAGAGTTTGCTACAAAATATTCTAATCCTTTAGAGGAGAAACATAATTACGCAAATCACAACTCAGAGATATATAAAACAGAACGAGCTGTTGGCCAATGAAAAAAAAAAGTACGTGTTTGGATTTTCCTTTTTTTTTTTTTTTTTTTTTTTTTTTTCATTTCATGATAGTCGGAGAAGATGACTTTGTTTTGCCCCATATTCTTATGAAGAAAGGAAATAAAGAGGGGGTAGAAGACTGCACACGGCAGAGAAAACTGGGGAAGAAAAATGAGAGAGAACGAGAAGAGGAAAAAAAAAAAAAGGAACAGACAAATTTTGTTAAACATCAAGTCTGTGTTAGGATATGTATAGAAAAAAAGGAACAGACGAATTTTGTTAAACATCAAGTCTGTGTTAGGATACATACATACATATATATATATATATATATCATATTTTCATTTCAGTATAGATGGAGAAGATAGTTTGATTTTTTCACCATTATTCTTATGAAGGAAGGAAAGGCACAGGGTGGGGGAAGTAGCCGGCAGAGAAAATTGGGAAGAAAAAGGGGGAGAGAGGAGATCTGAGGAAAAATGAAATCTTAAATTAATCTTATGGTGTATATCAATTAATAGGAAACATAATTATGAGAGTTTTAAATATTAAAGAAAAATAATAAAAGATAATATTTAAAGACTTGTCACGTAGTGAATTTTGATTGGATTGTATTGTGACTTAGCAAAGTTCCGTGGCAAGTAAAGCCCCACACAAGTTTTTCTCGTTGGTTGGAATGTCTAACATGCCTACGGATGACAATTGTAACTGTTAAACCCGATATTCGTGGATAACCGTCCGAATGGATTGGATTTGGGTATGAAAAATCGAGTATATTTTGGATATGGGAAAAAACTATGAATATTATTCAGTTATGGTTTTGGATTTGGTTTTAACTTATAGGAGTCACTCATTCGTATCCGTCTCCGAATCCAAACCGAATGGTATATAATATAATAGTATTAAATATATATGTATATGTATATTTATTATTCACCGAATCCATTCCCTTGTGAATACAGAAGTTGCATTGTGTGAGTTGCATTTTGTGAGAAAGTTGGAAAGTTTTGATATCAATAAAACAAATGAGAATTCAATGGTACTTATGGAAGATATCATAGATCAGCTAACATCATCAACGTTTAGAATTAATTTTTATACTCCACAAGATCCATTCATTAAATCATTTTATACATCAAATATTTAATAACGAAATTAATATTTACTAAATCATAATGTGTTAATTGAACGAAATGATGTGTTTGTAGAAGATTTGATTATTAATTAAGTGTCGTTTAACGTACTTATTTCTTACTGGTGACATATAATTCGATTTACAAATTTAATTTAATAATTTGATCTCTTAGCATTATCAGATACTGCAACAATATATAACCAAACTACGTAATCAGATTATAACACGTAAGTTGGTTACTAATACATGTAAGTTGGTTCCAAATGATCTAGTTGGGCCTCTTCAAATAGAAAGTGGGCTTCTGATGGGCTATAGTCCAGTTTCTTGTTCAGCTTAAATTGGCATAATGGTGAAGCCTAGTTATACAAGAAAGGGTAGATGCATATGAATTATTAATATTGGATAATTCATATCAATTAGGTCATCTTTAATGGGACCGAAAAATTTAAATTCAATTCTCTAAGTCTTGTTTGGTGTCTAGAATTGGGTTGAATCTAGTCGGCATTTATATTTAAACCAAATTCTAGAAGAAAAACTTGTATAACACGAATACACCGTTACTGTGACGTCTTGTGTCAATAATATAAGATCGTGTAACAAGAATCTAAAACGTGATACTCTATCATTGACACGAGACGTGACTACATCCACCTGATAGAAGTCCCCCTCCTCGATTCCAGACACCAAACGTGACGTTATATTATGAAGTTGGTTCGGCGTATTTGGTATGGCAAAGAGAATCATCAAGGAAAAATGAATGGTTTGATGAAGGCATATTCTTCATGCTTTTGAGATGTACGAGTATCTTATATAAAGGTTGGCAGGTCACATGCCTTTTGACACATCAAACTATCACATGCAAATTTGGGTTGAACAACCAACGAGTCCCAACAAATTTCCAAACTTTATGCTCATTTGACATATTATTTTAGTGTTTGTAAGCAAGCATCGTAATCTTGCTTGTACCGTCCTCTTTCAATACCACAGCTGCCAGATCAAACATGTGTACGGCCGAAAAAGAAAGAAAGAAAGAAAGAGTGTCTTAAAAAATACGCGAGCCAAAGAGTAAAACACATAAAAAGTGAAGGATTCTAAAAGAATATAAAAAGGAGGTGTTTGTACCAAATCTAACTCTAACTGATATTCCTCTTTAAGTAAATGAGAGGTATTATGTTTGATTTTCGTCAAATGTGAATTTGAACAGTATTATTGCTAGTTTATTGTAAGGCTAAGCTCATTTCTCCCCCACTTAGTGTAGATAATATCATTTGTTAAAAAAAAAAATATATATATATATATCTCTCTATATAACTAATTACCTTTTTTACATCTTGGAATGGAAGGGGTTAACAATAAGTATATAAAAATGGGAATTTTAACGAAAAACTCCCGGTACTGTTCACTTTAACGAAAAACCATATTTTTACACTAAAAAGTCAATCATGATACTACTCACTTTACTCTTTATTTTATCTTTATCGTTAAAATTCAAAGTTTTCAAATCATTTTTATTAGTTTTCCTTACAAAAATATTACTTCTTTTTTCAGATCAAAGAAAGTTTACTTTTACATTTTGAAACGGAGCTGACTTTTGAACATATTAAAGATTTTGTCAATTTTATTTTCAAAATCATAATTATTTTGTAGAGTTTAGAGCATCTTCAATGATCTTCCTATATGAACTCCAACGCAACAACGCTACCCGAGCGATGCTCGAGGATGCTTCGTTTTAAAAGAAGAATAATAATTTCCTTCCAAGTGCTCTTATTTGCTTAGGTAACAAGTCAAATACTCGACGTGTCAAAAAACAACAAAGCATATTCCTAAAACCGGTCAAAATGTCTTCGGTCTATTCCTCGAGATTTAGTCTAATAAAGGCCACAAAATAAGAGTCCAGATATTCGTTGGATTCTCTTTGTAAATATCTCGAGAATTCGTGAATCGATATTTAGTATGCACCAATAAAAAAGAAAAAAAGGTCAAGGATTTGGTGTTACTCCGCGAATTCTGGGGCCGCATGCTAAATTACAGCTACGCAGCCTCGAGGTGTCCGTGCCCACCACCGCAGACGTGTCCAACTCCTTCAAACGAACCGCTCCGTTTTGATTCGATTCGCATTCGCGTCACACGTGGCATGGGTTTTTGCCTTGCGCTCCAAGTCGCCAGCAAGGCTGGAAACCGTCGCCTCCAACCTCTCCGGAGTCTTTTAATTTCTTTCCATATATAAACGCCTTCCACTTTTTTCCTCTCATGCATTCCTACAATATATAAGCCGCGTTTCTCTCTCTAAATTCTCTCTGTAACTTGCCCTTCTTCCTCCTCCGCCGCCGCCTCCTTCTGCTTCTCTCTCTACATTTTGTGCTTTTTCGGCTGCGGATCCGAGCGCCGAAAGGCTTGAAACCGCCGAAAATGCGAGGTTTCGCTCTCTTCGACCGAGTTTCTAAAGCGTTTCATGACTATCCTAAGGCTTCCAAAATGCTCGTCGTCGTCGCCGTCAGGTTTACTCTCTCTCTCTCTCTGAGTCCATCTCTTTCGTCTTCTGCATGTTCAATCCGCTTCAGCTGTGCCTATTCAGTTCGATTGTTGTGTATTTATTTGAAAATATGAGCGAAACTGCTAAATTTAGATTTTTTTTTTCAGTTTTTTTCTCTATGTTATGCTCTATTAGATTGTTTTATTTTCTGTTAATTTCCATCGATCATTGCTTTTTAATTGGAAAATATTTGCTCTGTTTTATTGCATGCTGAAAAATATGTGCACTGTTTTTTTTTTTTTTGTCTCCAATTTTTTTGGAAGTCTCTGTAGTCGATCAGATCTCATTGAATCTGTAAGTTAAAATTGGAAGTCTCTTGGACTCATTTCATATATGTGGAAAATTGAGTCTGTAAGTTAAAGAAATTGTGAGGAAATTGGACTTCGTCGATCTGAAACATTGAGTTTCATGAACCGCCGCCAAAGTGGCGCCTCTGTTGATATAACAGAATTAGTATGCACAGATTCATCCATTAAAAGGATGCTTTGGTGCATTAGTTCATGTCTTATGGTGGCAATTTTGGCGCGACTCAAAACATGCACGAATATAGCATTTTACGTGTACATGATTAACACTGTTTCATTGACTTAAAATGATGATGCTATGGTCTGTTAGTTCAAGCTATGAACCAAAGCCAATTCGTTGGTGGTTCCGTGGCTATCAAAAAATCAAGGTGCAGGGATTCATCGAATTTTGCCGCATATTTAGGAAGTTTAGATTGAAACTACGCGTTTTTACTTGTTTCGATACTGGATTTTGTTATTGGTATGCTCGCATCTTATTTGGTACATGATTTGATTATGTTTTTGTTTTGTCTTGTGGCAGTGGTGGCGGCTATGTGGCTTACGCTGAGGCAAACTCTGAGCCAAAACTGATCAGCAGCACGCCTGGCATAGATCAAGGGGAAAATAAGAAAAAGAAGATCGTCGTACTTGGAACTGGCTGGGCTGGAACTAGTTTCTTAAGGAATCTGAAAAATCCCAACTATGAGGTTCAGGTCATATCACCTCGGAATTACTTTGCCTTCACCCCTCTGCTACCAAGTGTTACCTGTGGCACAGTGGAAGCTCGCAGCATTGTTGAACCAATTCGAAACATTGTTAGAAAGGTAATACTTGTTGCTTTGGGTGTTGGGAATCTCTCGTTGCCATCACTTATTATTTAACTGGATTGATTTTTTTTTTTTTTTTTGTACAGAAAAATGTAGATGTTCAATTCAGTGAAGCTGCGTGCCTCAAGATCGACGCACAAAACAAGAAAATCTATTGCCGATCTAATCTGGAAAACAATTTGAACGGACAAGAAGAGTTCGTTGTGGATTATGACTACCTTATTATAGCTGTGGGAGCCAATGTTAACACATTCAATACTCCTGGTGTGACGGAGAACTGCCACTTTTTGAAGGTAGTTTTCTTGTAAACCCTGCACTTGTACTAATAGAATACGTTCTTGTAAGTTTTCTCTTGTGAATCGAGTTTTGATTAGTTGAATGTATGCATCTTTGTTTTATTAATCTCGGGAAATTTACTTCTACATGCAGGAAGTAGAAGATGCTCAAAAAATTCGAAAAACTGTTATTGACTGCTTTGAAAGAGCAAGCCTTCCAACTGTAAGCGATGAGGAGAAGAAGCGAATTCTTCATTTCGCTGTTGTTGGAGGTGGTCCAACTGGTGTGGAATTTGCTGCAGAACTTCATGATTATGTCAATGAGGATTTGGTCAAATTGTATCCCGGGGTCAAGGAACTAGTTAAAATTACACTTCTCGAAGCTGGAGATCATATTCTGAATATGTTAGTAAAGAACTGACATCTAAACCTTCGTTATTTATTTGTTTGGAACTAGTATTTTGTTATTGAATGTAGCAATATCTGTTTGTTATTTCTTCATTATCATTGAATTCTTCTCGTGTTTTTGCAGGTTTGACAAAAGAATCACAGCTTTTGCTGAAGAAAAATTTCAAAGAGACGGTATTGATCTGAAAACAGGATCCATGGTTGTGAAAGTAACAGATAAAGAAATCTTTACCAAAGAACTGAAAAATGGCGGGGAAGTTTCTGCCATGCCTTACGGAATGGCACTCTGGTCAACTGGTATTGGAACGCGTCCTTTCATAAAGGATTTCATGGCTCAAGTTGGTCAGGTGTGTTTCTCTTCTCATTGATGCTGTTGACTTCTCTCTCTAGAAGCCTTATGAAGTTCAATTGAATATCAGGCCAATCGACGAGCTTTGGCAACTGATGAGTGGCTGCGAGTCGAGGGCTGTGACAAGGTGTATGCAATTGGTGATTGTGCGACAATAAATCAGCGCAAAGTCATGGTAACTGCACTTTTGACTGGTTTCTCCGTTAAATCAATACGATAAACCAGTTGTTGATTCTCTGTTTGCTATAACCTGGATCAATTCTTTGTTTAAATCTTCCACCAATATGTCTAGTTTGTTTTTTTAATGCCTGTTTGCTTTTCAGGAGGATATTGCTGCCATATTCCGCAAGGCGGACAAGGATAATTCAGGAACACTAACAATCAAGGAGTATCAAGAAGTGATTAAGGATATCTGTGAAAGGTATCCTCAAGTGGAGCTATATTTGAAGAGTAAACAGATGAAGAATATGGTTGACCTTCTGAAGGAAACAGCTGATGTTTCGAAGGGAAACGCGGAGCTGAATATCGAACATTTCAAGACCGCTCTTTCCAAAGTGGATTCCCAGATGAAAAACCTTCCAGCCACAGGACAGGTACTTGGTTTGGTTTATGAACATTTCGACATTAGTAATGTTATCAAGGGCTCTTCTCCACATATTGTATGTCTTATTTGCCTCTTAAATGCTACGCATTCCAGGTTGCTGCTCAACAAGGTGTCTACCTTGCCAAATGTTTCAATCGTATGGAACAGTGTGAGAAAAGTCCTGAAGGTCCTCTCAGGTTCCGTGGAGAAGGTCGCCATCGGTTCCATCCCTTTAGGTACAGTTCAAAGCCATGCATTACGATTCTTGTGCTAGAAAAATAGTGCCTTTTTTCTTTGATAATTAAATAAAAAAACGAGATGATTATCAAACGGGTGCTATATTTTTAGCGATGTCTTGGTCAGTTGTTAACATATAGAATGATTCATTCTTGTGTAAAGGTACAAGCATCTAGGTCAGTTTGCTCCGTTGGGAGGAGAGCAGACAGCAGCTCAGCTTCCCGGAGATTGGGTTTCGATTGGCCACAGCTCCCAGTGGCTTTGGTATTCTGTTTATGCAAGGTATTATTTACTTTACCATTTCAAATATTCCAACACAAAGTTACAAACACATATTTTAGGGTCCTGTTACATTATCGCGCGTTTACGTGTTTGTACCATAGAAAAATCAAAATATTGATTTCATTCGTAACGCATTTGCGTTTGAACAATGTTTCAGCAAACAAGTGAGCTGGCGCAACAGAGCACTGGTGGTATCCGACTGGGGTAGGCGTTTCATCTTTGGGAGGGACTCGTCGCATTTGAATTGAGCCGGCGTCTGACGATTAATTCACAAACACTTGGACGCACATTTAAGAAGTTTTGTTTTCGAATTCAAATCATTCGTCGAGGAATTAATTACTTGAAGCGGCAGCAGCAGATCTTCCTCCGTTGTAACTTCCTATCAGTCTCTCGTGGATTTAGATGGTTTCACCAGTACTGTTTTTTTAATAAAATAAGAATTTAGTCGAATATTTGGTGGGGTTGTTGTCGTTATTCAAACCATATTGCACTCATGTCAATAGTTTTCGACATATGCTGAAACACTATGATGAGTGATAACAAAAGGATTTGTCAAGCGATGACAACGTAACCTGTTGAGAGATACCTAGCATACATTACATCAAACACTTAATAGGCACAGTAGGAATTTTTATCAAACATTCAGAGGGTCGTCGGATAATATTCACTTGCATAGTTTTCAGACTATGGGTGGTCCTGAGATCACATTGATGATGATTATGAGACCTCCTTTGATGGTGGTCCTAAACTCACCTTGGTCCCAATGTAAGTCCGTCCCTACCTACATCATCCAACAAAAACCACTGCCCACTTATGTAAACACCCTTGATTTCACCCTTACGTTCAATGAATTAAGCTTATCAACTGACACTAATAGGAGCTTTTTGTTACTGGCCCACTCAAAATGTGTTGTGCTTAGCACTAAACTTGGTGCTATGTGCAATGTAAGCTGAACCAAGATATAAGATCCATTTGGTGACGCATTAACAACAAAGTGCGGAGCTTGTGGCTTATTTCTCTCATAGTGCCGCCACGTGAAACGTTGCCGACAAACAACAGACACCGATATTTTATATGGACACCCAGCAAAGAAGGCCGTTGGAAGAACATGGGTTTGTTTAAGCTCTGGGGGACATAGTGGGAGCTCAAGATAAGTCTCCACTCCACTTTCGACATGACACCGCGAATGATGTTTAAGGAAGGAGAATCTACCTACACTAGGTTAATTGGTGTTTAAAGCAACGCAACTTAAACTAGCTCGAAATATTACGGTGCATGATAAAAGTATTTTAAGTCAATTATTAACAAGATTTTAAAAGACGTTAGACGCAAGTAAAAATGAGTAGAAATACCGTAACAATAATATTTTTGTTGCTTCGAAAGTCCTCTAATTACCGTGATTAAAAATTAACCAAAGGTTTAGTTATATTTCCTCTGCGGTGCTACTGCCACTGGTATAATGCTCCACTCTCTTGATCTTCTCTCTCCTTCTTCGCTACATCAACCTCCCGTTCATCACTCTCGCTCCAACCTTTTCTTCTCCTCTCACATCCGGATTTCCACACCATTTCTCACAGCTTCCACCACACTTAGACCTCCCTCTCCCTTGCATGGATTCCCAAAGAAAGAAGGTTCTGGAGCAGGTGCTGAACCTGGTCACGTCACCCAAGGACCGGAGCTCCGTCTCGCTGGTCTGCAAGGACTGGTACGACGTGGAGCGCCACTCTCGCCGCCACGTCTTCATTGGAAACTGCTACTCCGTGTCGCCGGAGATCGTGACCCGGCGGTTTCCCAACATCCGAAGCGTGACCCTGAAGGGAGGCCGCGGTTCTCGGACTTCAATCTGGTGCCTCCGAATTGGGGCGGCGACGTTCGGCCGTGGCTGGAGGTGTTCGCTGCTGAATACCCGCAGCTCGAGGAGCTGAGGCTGAAGAGGATGACGGTGAGTGATGAGAGCCTTGAGTTCTTGGCTGCTTCTTTTGCTGGGTTCAAAGCTCTGTCGCTGCTCAGCTGTGACGGGTTCAGCACCGATGGCCTTGAAGCCATTGCCACTGACTGCAAGTAAGTGTCTTTTTCATTTTGATTTGGTTTTTAAGTGCTTTTTCGATTGGTTTGTGAGATCGCTTTCACTACTGCTTAGAAAGTCTTATACTAGGAGTACTTTTAGTAGGAAGACAATGAAACCTTTATTAAAAATCAAAGTGCTTTCCGAAAAAGCACTCTTCGAACAATGACATGGTGGGTCTTTTTTCAGAAAGTGCGTTTATGATCTAGAACCCCCCAAGTTTTACGTGATAACATACTTAGAAACATTTTTCTAGAAGGAAGCAATCGAAACATGCCCGAGATCTAAGACCGGTAGTCCGATGACGTTCTATCCCCAAAATCTGCATGTTTGATCTATATGCTTTACTGCTTATGCTGAACTTCACTTGTTGAGGAAAACACCTAAATCCCATCCTAATTTGGTTTTACAGGAATTTGACTGAGCTCGACATACAGGAAAACGACATCGATGATAAAAGTGGAGACTGGTTAAGCTGCTTCCCTGAAACCTTCACGTCAATGGAAATCCTAAACTTTTCCTGCCTGAATTCCGATGTCGACTTCGATGCTCTTGAGAGTCTTGTAAGTAGGTGCAAATCACTGAAGGTGTTAAAGGTTAATAAAACTGTAACCTTGGACCAACTACGAAGTCTTCTCACCCATGCTCCTCAACTTCTGGAGCTAGGCACCGGCTCGTTCTGGCAAGAGCTCACACCCTCTCAGCATTCAGAACTCGAAAGAGTGTTTAGCAATTGCAAGAATTTATATGCAGTCTCTGGTTTATGGCAAGCAACAGCTCTTTATCTCCCGGTTCTGTATCCTGTCTGTACGAATCTTACTTTCCTGAATTTGAGCTATGCAGCAACTTTGCAAAGTTGGGACCTTGCTAAACTTGTTCCTTATTGTCCACATCTCCGGCGCCTTTGGGTAAATGCCCCATTTCTTTCTCTTTTATATATAACAGTTCTTCATTTTGAGAAAGCTAATCTGATAAAGTTAGACGAGAAAAACAATAGCGGTTTTGAAATCGTTATTGGTTGATCACAACAATGACATAATAGTTTCTTCATTTTGAGAATGCTAATCTATTGAGGTAATAGCATTTTGAAATCGCTGTTTGTTGATCACAACAATGACATGGTACATGTTGACTGTAGGTGCTAACTCTTAATATCAATTTTTTCTGCAGGTGCTGGACACAGTGGAAGACCAAGGGTTGGAGGCTGTTGGATCAAACTGTCCTTTGCTTGAGGAACTCCGTGTTTTCCCTTCTTCTCCCGATGGAGATGATATTGTTGATGGGGTGACTGGATCTGGATTTGTTGCTGTGTCCAATGGCTGTCCAAGACTCCGCTATGTCCTCTACTTTTGTTGGCAGATGACTAATGCCGCTGTAGCAACTGTTGCACAAAACTGCCCTGATATAACCCACTTCCGTCTCTGCATAATGACCCCAGCAAAACCAGATCACCTGACGGGTGAGCCTATGGATGAGGCTTTTGGTGCGGTGGTGAAGACTTGCACTAAACTCGAAAGGCTTTCGGTTTCAGGTTTACTGACTGACCTTACATTTGAATACATTGGGAAATATGCCAAGAATTTGGAATACCTTTCAGTAGCCTTCGCTGGAGACAGTGATCAGGGGATGCAGTACGTGATGAATGGTTGCCCCAAGCTCAAGAAACTTGAGATACGGGACTGCCCGTTTGGGGACGCAGCTTTGCTCTCAGGTTTAGAGAAATATGAATCTATGAGGTCACTTTGGATGTCAGCCTGCCTTGTGACAATGAATGCCTGTCGGTCATTGGCAAGTAAGGTGCCGAGGTTGAATGTTGAGGTGATGAAGGATGATGAAATTGGTGATGACAGTCAGGCTGATAAAGTCTATGTTTACCGTTCTATTGCCGGGCCAAGAAAGGATGCCCCGGCTTTTGTTCTCACCTTCTGAAGACTGAACAGCTTTTGTGCTCACTCTCTGAACCTTACAAAATACATGGTACTCTCTCTCTCTCTCTCTCTCTCTCTCTCTCTCACACACACACACACACACACACACACACACACAAACTCGTAAACAGCTTTTGAGTTGAAATTTGAATCGTTCTATGTACACAAATTTTGGTTTTTCTTTTCTTTTAACATTTCAGCTGGTGCAACAGGGAATTTGTGATGTATGCAGTCATGGCTGAGACGTTTTTAGGTGAGGGATTGAAGTAGAATTTGAGGCACTGACCATTCACAAAGTTAAGCAAAGAAGGATGAAGCGAGATTGGCTCTTCAAGAATGGTCGCGTGTAGAATAAGTCATTGACAATAAGAAAGAAGTTCTGCTATTGGGTTCAAGTCGTTCGTCGAGGAATTTCATGCAGAAGCAGTAGATTTTCCTTCATACTTGTATCGGAGTTGTGGATTAGTTAGTCTAACTCACCACAATGTTTCGAAAAATAACATACGACATTCGTAATCCTTTGCTACTGGAATATGTGGGGATTGATTTCTAGTTCATAAGTCAATTTGATTTTGAAGTATAATTATTTATAACCCTGAATGCTAGTTACAATAATTCTTGAGAAAAAAAAGATCATGAAAACAAATAAATTGTAATTTTACGAGAATGACTTACATAAGACGGCAACACCAAGTGACAGAACTTTGAAGTTCCTATATGTTTCAACAGTCCTTTGCTTGAGGAACTTCGTGTTTTCCCTTCTGATCCCGACGGTGATAATATTATCCGTCGGGTGACTGAATCTGGGTCTGTTGCCGTGCCTCATGGCTGCAGAAGACTCCGTTATATCCTCTACAGTTCTTGGAATTTGTTCATTTATTTATTTTTTTGATATACAAATTCGAGGAGAACGAAAAGGAAGCAAAGTTTTACGAAGCAGAGCTTATGCCGTCACGGCCTCCAACGGCAGGATGTTATTTGCTTCCACAGCGAGATTGGCTGTTCCCCTGAAAAGCAAGAATGCAAGGCTACCGACGAAGAAATAGATGAAGCAGCCTTGGCTGTGTGTCACAAACGAACCAAAATCTGTTCCTACGATGCACTGCCACCCCAGCCCGTACGTGTCATCAAATTCCTGCATGGAAACAAGCAAAGAAGGCAAAAATAAACACGTGAATTTCAAATGATTTATTGAGGATTCAATGCTGAGGATAATCCAGGAAAGAGAGGTGACCTTCTTTATGAATTGGGCAATCTCAGTGGGTTCAGTGACATCGAAGTTATCGAGAGCCCTTGCAGCTAACTGGAGAGCGTCTTGCTGCATTGTTTGAAGCATATCAGTCTCATTGACGACGGCTTTGCCTTCCAACATGGCTCCAGAAAACCTGCCTGGAACTGCCGTTGCAGTTGGGAAATCGCGAAAGAGCTGCAGATATATAAGGCAGTTTAGAATGAAGGCAAAGGCTGTAGTGAAGCGAATTATATCGAAACGGGAACTTCACATTTCTATGTGGTACTCTCCATGCCGCGTGTGGTCATCAAAGAATAATGCAAAGGAATAAAGCCAGGTGGTCAGGAAACAGACAAGCTGATTGTGTCATGGATGATGGGGCATGGAAGAAGATGCATTTCTTGTGTACAGGATCTCGCATCTTGTTCGATCAATTGCTCAAGTCTGCCGTAGCGAGGGGCAGTTTTCGATTCGGGGTCCACATTATCTCGGAGATGCAGGACGTTTATGGTTGTACAAGTAAGATACTTCTGTGAAATTCAATGATGGTGTTCTGAGGTTGATGGTCAGTTGTCTATTTGCCTACACTCTTGTTTTCTTTTCTTTTTTTTTTTTTTCGTTTTTTGTTGATCCAAGAACCTATAGCTTGTCATTGGTTCGGGTTGATGATAAAAATACAGCAATTATCCACTTGTGTTGTTCTGGATCAAAGGCCTCTATATGCACTTTATTGAAAAAACAATTGGCCCTTTTACCAGAGAAGTGTCAGCCTAAAAAATCATCACTAAATTTAGCGGAAATGAGTTAGGTTTAGGATAGGTTCTAGATTTGATTTCAGGATTACGATAGGTCCTGGATTCCGTTCCTCCAAACATGAATAGCAAGTCTTCAGCCTTTAATTATCAATTGAGGCATATATATGATGTAACTGGGCTTTTAGATGTGCAGCCACTTCATGCAGATTTGTTGTTAGTTTCAAAACTCGAACTATAAATATATATATATATATATAGGCCATCTCCAACCGAGGGCCAAAGGGCCAAATATAATTTATTATTTAAAAACTACAACTTAAATTCAAATCTAACGGCTAAGTGACGTCAGCTAGCCGTTAGTAGCTGACATCATGCTGACGTCAGCTAACCGTTGGATTTGAAATTTTCTTTTGCTATAAATAGAGTGGATATTGGGCTATAATTCACACAACTTTGAATTCAATCTATTTCAATTCAAGTTTGCAATGAATTCCAACTTTAGATCCTCTTCGGATTCCAATTGGGGGTCCTCATCCAATTCCAAATTGGAAGCAAGATGGGCGCAAATGAGACAAGAAGATGAGGAGTCTGATGAAGAAGTTCAAGTAAGGCGCAACAAACAAAACAGAGCAGCAGCCATGGTGTGTCAGCCAACTAAGGAACAACCTTAATATGAAACAAATTTTGTGAAATAGAAGTTATAGGATAAAAATAGAATTTAAAATAAAATAAAACAAATTTTGTGAAATAAAAGTTATAGGAAAAAATGGAATTTAAAAAAAATATGAAACAAATTTTGTAAATTAAAAATTAAAGGAAAAAAAATAGAATTTAAAAAAAATGAAAAATAGAAGTTATAGGAAAAATTTTGTAAATAAAAAAAAATAATAGAACTGTAAAAAAATAATATTCAAATGCAACGGCTAGCTGACGTTAGCTAGCCGTTGCATTTGAATTTTTTTCTTAAGCATTCTTGTCGGTTATAACCAATAGGAAATATGATTTTTCTGGCCAACCCCGAGCTGGCTGCATGCAACCAGCCCTCCAGCCTTCTCCGATTTCATGGGGCCCTTTCAAATTCCACAGCCCTTTGGCCTATCCCTCGGTTGGAGACGGTTTTCGGGCTATTTTCGATCTTTTGGCCCTCTGGACCATTCGGTTGGAAATGGCCCTTATGAGTTCCAGCCCAAGTGTCGATTCCGATCTTCCTCCTTCTAGGGGTGTTTAGCAAATTAGCAAACTCAAATCCAGGATGGGCATGACGAAACAAATTAAGGGAATTATTGTTTTCATCAAATGCTAATTCACTCGGTGTTTTTTTGGGAAGTTTGGAAGGAAATCAGATTCTTTAATAATTAACAGTGCCATACTTAGATTTTGTGGGGCAGCTCATGACTAAGAATTCATCACAAAAGTCTAATTACAATAACTTAGAGGTGGTAAATATGGTTTGGTAAGAGGTCTATTGTTGTAATGTATCATGTCATGAAAATTATAATTGCCACAAAGATTTGATTAGATGCATAAAAATACACACAAATGAAGTTCATGGATAATAATGTTTGCTTCTGTAAAAAATAATTTGAAACGTCTGTTAAAGTTCAAACTTTTGTATTCTATCAGAGGTTTTAGTCCTTTCTAATCGCTCTAAGCGAGAATAAAGTAGCATACTTTGTAGTTGATGGCTCATTCCGAGGTCTTGGTTCTTTCTAACCACCTTATGCAGATTTAGAGAGTAAGGTTACTATTATAGTCAGATAATTAAACCTTATGTATAGTTCGATTCACCTAATCTAGTATCACCCTTTCATTATATAATAAAAGTAAATTCTGGTCTGCAGTCCCATTCAAATTTTGAGCAAATAATTATAACCATAAATACATATATACACACACAAACACATATATGAATCTTTTAGGCAATGCTGCATGGTCCCATGTATGATCACTAAGTCGCACATCATTTTCTTGGAACGTAAGATGTAGAACGTTCGAGTCTACATGCTTTGTATAGGGCTACTTTCAAGAAAACGAAAGAGGTGATTAACACCTAACACCAACATGTTTAAACACTTGAGTACAGTACCACGTAAACATTTTCGAATCGGTGCTCGATTCGATCGCGGTTCCATGCATTGTATATCCTAATTAGGGTTAAATTCGGAGTGCTTTTGGATGCAAGAAGATAATGGCTAGAGACTTAGGGTTTCGTGGAACAGATTTCTTTCCTATGGGAATTACGGTTTGTTGTTTCCTACGTGGGAATTAGGGTTTACAATCACCAAATCGGTTTAACTTTATCGAAGCAATGTGTTTTATCTTATGGACAGAAATTTACTTTGAATCTTACTGTCTGGAGCCTAAAGATTATGCATATTTAAACCAGTCAAACTGAATACGACAGTCCTCATTAACTCATTCCGTAAATTCACTTCACACAAACCAGGAGCTCCGATTTCTCTTTTACACAAACCAAGAGTTCGAATTTTTTGGTCCTTAGGCCCCAGACACTAAAGTCCGGAGAGGATCCAAATTCTTGTCTTATGAGTCACCTAAGCTAGCTAGCTAGTTGATCATCACCAGCATTGCAATGGAGTAGATGGATGAGATCTGATGATACTGCCATATTGTACTTTTCTCTTCAAAGCTAAGGTATATATTTCGACTGTGCTTCTAGCCTACTAGCTAGTCGTATTGGATTTCACTTGTTCCATACTCAAAGGTGTCCCAACAATGCAAAGCAATCACTTTCGAGCTTATGCAATCCACATGGCATTTCTACCTAACACTTTATCACCATTAAACAACCAACATATTAGCTTACCCTCTATCTAGAATCTTATGCCACCGACCTAGCTGGCTACATAACACAACCCACATACGTACTAGGGTTATGCATGCTTAAGATACCAACTAAACTGATGTTGAAACTCCTTTTGAAAGAGCTAAAAGTATTTTTTGATAACTAGAAACGTAGTTGCAGGTTGGCTATGAAGCAGTTGCTAGGTGCTTATTTCAATGCGTTTCTAATAAAAACATTATATATAATAATAATAAAAAAAGATGTTTATGAGTAGAAGTCTTTTTTTATATAAATAAACAAAAACAAGCCATAACTTTTTTAGGGTTATTTCTCTCCTAATGTCAAAAGAGTCTCAAAATCCCTCCACCTTTACTGATATAGAAATTTTCTCGACAGTAGATAAACAACGATTAAAATTAAGAAAGTAGCATACTTGGTAGAGATGAATGGGAATTGTAATGTGCCATGTAACATTGTAACATATGGGGTCCTAGCAGTGTGGCTTAAGTTGTGATGACCATGTGCAGATTCAATTATGCTGAAGGGCCAAAATCTGCAGCTGATTATTGCTCCTTTTTCGATAGATTCAATGTGGAAGCATGGTGGCCTAAGAAGAATAGAAAGTTCAAAAGATTGGAGACCCAAAAAGGGGTTTATGCCTATATCATTACCCCACATAAAACAACTTGATCAAAGAAAGAACCATGATTAATTAAAACCAAATCATATTCTTAAACTTTTGTTGCAAATAATCATAGTGACTATCATGGAATAGAATCCTCTATGGATTCTTTCTATCGGAATCCTCCAATTCTGTCTATTCAACAAAAAATCAAACGGCCAGGAATTAATTGTCTGTTCACTTTCACCTTCCTCTTCTCGTGTTCATCCTCTTCTATCTTCTTCCTTGTTCATCTTCTTCCCTCTGTTTCATCTCTCTCTCCAGCTTCAGAATTAAGGGATCCAAACGATCCGGATGAAAGGAATCCGGAAAGAATCCCAATCTTAGTATCATCACAAAATAAGATAAAAATAATCCGTAATTAGTTGAATATAATAACAAGTTTTTTGTCATGTACTAAGACGCCTAATCACATCATGGGTCATTGATTTTTGTTTTCCTCTCACTTGTCATCTTCTAGCTAGGGTTTTATCTGTGCAAGTGCAACACAGGTCTCCCATTTTTCTTTTTCCATGAACAACCATGATAAATGCTTCCAAAAATCTTATCCCATAATTTATTATGTAAGCATGCTCAATACCTTTCACGCTTTGCTTTTCGCATTTTCTTGAAAAAAGCAGCTTTTGGCTTTTTTTGTAAGCTCCTCTCATTATTTTTCAGTGCAAAAGGGTTATAGAATGAACAGAAGCATCTTTCTTTTCAAAAATTTGTAAAGAAATTAAGAAGCCCCTTCCTCGAGGCTTCCAACAAAGGTCTTCACATGGTGGGGTGGGGTGCGGTGGGAGGGCATTGTCATCTATCCCCATGCTAAGAGTTTTCAAACCTAACCTACTTTTTTCCTTTTCACCTTTTCACCTAATCAAATAGTGCTCCGAAGATTTTTAGTGCAGGCTGCTGCGTGATGTTACAATACGTGAATATATTTACCGATAATACATCATAAAATTATGAAATATAGCAACAAATTGGTTAATTTTGTCGTCCACTTCTACTATGATAATTGGACTAAGAACATATTATGACGATAAGATCCGTCACCCTACAAGATTCTCGTTATTTTAAGGGTGGTCCATAAGAATTCCAGTTAAGTTTCTTATCAAGTATATATATACGTACAGCTTAGTTTGTCTCTTGTTTTGCTCATGCTTGCCCTACTCTGCCACAAAATAAATAGTTGTCCTAATCAATAAATTTTTAGTAGGTGATCATAATTAATTTCTCCATTACTACTTAAAAAGTCTATACAAAGTTAAAAGTTGATAAAGGTCCAACCACGGAAATTTCTTACCATACCACTTCTCCTCGTGGGATCCATCACATTTCAAGAACAGCTGATCCAACAATTAGGACTGTTCAATTTAAAATTTACAGTTCTATTAGCCTATCTTGCTGATTTACCTTTAAATTACTCGGTGTGCAAATTCTGTAGTATGAGATTTAGAAAAGATCTCAATGCCTACTCGTGAACTCAACCCTAACATTCATTTTTTTCTCTTTTTTCTTTCCATAAAAAAAATAAAAAATAAAAAATAAAAGATGAAATTTTTGTTAAAAGCATTGATTCCATATTATCTCAAAGTTTGAACTGTCACATCTTGTAGTCATTTTACAAGGTGATCCTTTTATATATTTTTCTTTGTCTATGGTATGCTTATGCTCTTTTGACAAAAAATACATCTTTAGAATATTACCCAAAAAAGAAATAAAACAAAGAATATTTCCTTTTTGCTATAGCTGCCAAGTGAAAGTATAAACTAGTGATACTAAAAGATTCGGAGTAACATTACAAGTTAGAAGAAAGGTAATAAAAAGATAAAATCTAGCGGGCTTTTCTCTTTTTCATTTTCAAAAATGTAAGTTGCGAACGCTCTAAACAACTTAGTGTTTGTTTAGAATTTTTTGGACACTCAAGGAAAAACGCTTATTCCAGCACTTTAGTACTTTACAATTAAACTTGAAGAAGAACATGCGAGGTGTTTGCTTCTAAAATTTCAACAAGTATTCAAACGTGTTTGCTTCTAATACCCAGTCACAACATATTCAAGGGTTGCTCCAATAATTAGATGATAAAAGAGGAAATTTGACAATTGAGTGTTGTGAATTATGATGGTTAAATGGTTGCACCTTACTATATTTAAAAGAAAAATTAATGAAAATGATTTGAAAATTTTGAGCTTTAACGATAATGACAAAATGAAGGGTAAAGTGAATAGTATCATCATTGACTTTTTAGTGTAAAAATATGGTCTTTTCATTAAAGTAAACAGTACCGGAAACTTTGCATTAAAGTTCCCATATTTAAATGCTTTTACTATGAAAACTTATTTTTCACTACTTTTCTAAAACTCGATTTTGATCCTACTTTCTCTTATGAAACTTAAAGTCGTTACTTTGCTCTCTGGTTCGATTTCAGTTCCACTTTTCTCTTTGAAACTCAAAAGCTACTCTTTGCTCCCTGGAACTCGATGTTGATCCCACTTATTCTAAAAAAAAAAACAGATATAAGGCAATATAGAGGAAATTTTGAATTTTAAGAAGTAAAATTGAGAGTTTTGAGTTTTAAAGAGTAAAGTGGGATAAAAATCGAGTTTCAGAGAGTAAAGTGACGTCTTTTGAGCTTCATGAGGCAAAGTAAGATTGAAATCGAGTTTCAAAGAGTAAAATGACGATTTTTGAGTTTTAAGATGTAAAATGAAATTGAAATGGAGTTTCAGAAAACATAGCTAAAATAAGCCAAAACTCTTCTAGAATAAATAATTAAACAAATCCATACATGTGCATAATGTAAGCATTGCTTAAAAGTTTTAACCACCAATAGTGGCTGAATAGCCCCTAAAAACATATTTAAATTGTGTTAGATAAAATACAATGATTTACTACCACCTCCTTTGAATAAGCGCCAACTTCCAACAGATTTCTTATCCCCATTGTACTTACGAAATTGCCCCTCTTAAATCCTCCGCTCTTACTCCACTAACACGCACCAGCCCATAAGGTCAATCATGTAATTTCGCACTAAAGTCCAATTCATTGGATCAGCTGCCAAACCGGGGATAAGTACAAAACCAGGAGAAAGATGGGAGACGTCAGAGCCTCTGTGTCTGTGTTCACGGTAAGATCGTCGACTAGATTCCATTCCGTTTCCAATTCCGATCAAATTTTCCAGATGGGTTGATTCCAAAACCAATGAGAGCAACAATGGGGGAAGAAGAGAAGCAGGGAGCCAAAGAAACAGAGCAGAGCCAAAACTCGTCGGAATCTTCCTCCGGTGAATCAAGTCTCCGGCGAATTATCGAGTCCATTACATCTCTGATTTCGCTTTCTTATTCCATAAAAATCTTTGCGGCGAAATGGAAAACGATAAGGACCAAGCTCGAAGATTTGAACTCCGGCCTAGTGGCCGTACAAAACTGCGAGGCCAGCGAAAACCCTGCTGTCTCAGGCATTGTGTCGAATACATGGAAGACGGTCAACGAGTGTCACGACCTCGCTCGTCGCTGCGTCGATCTTTCGTACAGCGGGAAGCTCCTGATGCAGAGCGACTTGGACATGCTTTCCGCAAGACTCGATCTTCACGCAAGAAACCTGTCGGAGGTTTACAACGCCGGAGTTTTGACACGGCGGTTCGCGATCGTCGTTTCGAGGCCCGGCAACGGAGCTTGCAGAGACGACATGAGGTTCTACGTCAGAGACTTGATGACGAGGATGAAGATTGGCGACGCGGAGATGAAACGACTGGCGTTGCTTAATCTGCACGAGGCTGTCGTGGAAGACGATAAGTATGTTAAAGTCGTCGTTGAACATACCGAGATTGTGCATTTACTGATTAGTTTTCTTGATTTTTCGCATGAGGTTGAAATCCAAGAGTTGTCTGCGAAGATTGTTTCTGTTATTTCTGGGTTTCGTCCGTACAAGGTTGTTCTGATCGGAGCCGGGATTATCGCGCCGTTGATTCGGGTTTTGGAGACTGGGAGTGAGGTTGGGAAAGAAGAAGTTGCAAAGAGCTTACAGAGATTAACCGAAAATTCGGATAATGGGTGGTCGATTTCAGCTCACGGCGGAGTTACGGCTCTGCTTAAGTTATGTTCCGGCGGCGATGGCGGCGAAATCAGATCAGAGTTGGTTGGTCCTGCTTGCGGGGCACTCAAAAATCTTGTTGGCATTGAAGAAATCAAGAGATTCATGGTTGAAGGAGGTGTAATTTCGACGTTTATCAGGCTCACAAGGTCGAAAGACGAAGTCTTGCAGATCAATTCGATTGAGTTTCTGCAAAACATTGCTTCTGGGGACGAGGCAATTCGGATTATGGTGGCGAAAGAGGGCGGAATTCGAGCGTTGGTTCGCGTTTTGGAGCCTCGATCGGTGGCTTGTTCTTGTAAAGTGAGGGAGACGGCATTGAGGGCAATAGAGAATTTGTGTTTTTGGAATGTGAGTTCGATTAGTGTTCTGATCAAGTACGGTTTTGTTGATCAGCTCATGTTCTTTCTACGAAATGGGGAGGTTTCGATTCAAGAACTGGCGCTAAAAGTGGCGATTAGGATGTGTGGGAAATCAGAGGAGGCCAATAAGGCAATGGGGGATGCAAATTTCATGACGGAGCTGGTCAATTTCCTCGATTCAAAGTCGTTTGAGGTTCGAGAAATGGCGGCTGAGGCGCTGTCGAACATGGTCTCAGTCCCGAAAAATAGAAAACGATTCGTGCAGGATGATCGCAACATGCGCCTCCTTTTGCAGCGGTTCGATCCGGAGCAAGTAAATTCGGGCAACACGAAGCCCTTGTTCTCCATTTTGATGTCGCTGACGAGCTGCAACGGTGGGAGGAGGAAGATTGCGCATTCGGGTTACTTGAAAAACATCGAAAAACTTGCAGAAGATCAAGTTTCGGATGCCAAGAAGCTTGTCAAGAAGTTATCCACAAACAGATTTCGTAGCATGTTGAGTGGAATCTGGCGTTGATTCTTGAATCAAATGTAGGGTTTTTGTCTTTATATAATTTTCATTTAATTTTTGTTTGCAATTTTTGTTCATAACTTGTATATCTGCATAAAAGGGTATTTCCAAGTTTTTAATTGTTTGTCAAGCCCAAGTTGGAACTCCAAATTTCATCTTTATTATCCTCTTTCACATCATCTTCTTGTCAAGATTTGTATACATAAGATTGTCCAAATTTCATCTTGATTCGGAACAGGTCATAAGATTGACATAACTCTTCATTTTGTTCTTTGAGATTTAAAATCGATAGAAGCCGTCACTGTGATTGTTCATCCTCAATCATTTGGTCCTTTAGGGTATTTTTGTTAAATCAACCCATCTCCTTAATTTGGTGGTTTCTTCAATTTAACGAAGATTTTTCAAAGAATGACCAAAAAGATTGACGATGGACAATCTCATCAACCAGTTCTATCGATTTTAATTCTCAGGGACCAAAAGTGTAGAGTTATGACAATCTCATGACCATTTTGATTAAAAAGCCTTCTTTTATTTGAGCGATAATTCTAATTTAATATAAATTATAAGGAGGGCGATTCGACTTTGTCCTAACCAACTTGACTACGTCCAACTTGCTACTACAATATATTTGTTTAAGATATTGTTGATGCATGTAGTGGCAGCAATGTGCCAAAGAATGAATGAATGACGAGAATGCAATTGCAATTGCATTTAGTTTAAGTGAGATGGGGATGGGTTATATAATATTTAGGTTGTGTATTATTAGGAAGAAGCACATGGGAAAGCCATGAACTCCCAAAGGGGCATGTGAAGAGTAGAGGCAAGGCTGCCATGGTCTACTTCATTTACCCTCTGTGGACACAAAAGATAGTGATAGATCAAGTTTCCTGCCGGATTTGCTTGTCCTATGTATGCCATTGTCTCTTCTGTCAATTTCTTGTTAAAGACATTCATTCCGTTAAACTATGATTTTGCTTGGTTTTGATCTCATTTTTTGACGTAGTTGATTGCTTTAGGCTGTAGAATCACAAATCAAAATTTTAACTTTAGAATTCTAGCTTAGAACTAGCTACTTGTTTCAATTTTAGGCTTTAAGCCTCTGATTTTAAGAGCTCAAAGCTTTAATTAGAGGGTGACGCTATATCTAGAATAATCAATCAGTCGATAAATAGAATCAAATGGGAGTAGAGTTAATTACAAATTAGATTTTCTCAAAACGTCTGTCCTTTTAAGTGTTTTATCTAAGTCTTGGTGGAAGGAAAAAAATTGCTAATTATTTGTTAGACAGAAGGGGGATTGTATATTAGGAAATATTGTGGTAGGGTACATGGACTTGGACAACTAGTAGTCCAACTTAATGAAGAGGACTTGTAAGTTTCATCTTATTCGTTTAGTCATGCAAAGCTTTTTATAGTTCAATTGGTTAAGAACATTTATCTATAAAATTAAAATTTTATGTCGGAGTTTCTCCTTCACCGATATTACTCGCGTTAAAATACAATATATCAAATGCATGCGAAGTTCACCAGGGCAATGTGTTTTCCTGTCTCAGAAGAAAATAATACAAGCAAACAAAGATTGGTGTGGAGGAAATTGCAGCGAGATGTAAGTTAACATCCTCCAAGGGCCCAGGTTTGGGCTGTTTGAGCTTTGACAGAGACTAGAGAAGCCCAAAGGAAACACACAAGTCGGAAGCCCAATGGCCAAAGTTGAAAATGGATAATTGAATCTAGAGAACTTTAAAAAAAAAAAAAAAATCATATTTTTACATTAAAAAGTCAATTATGGTACTATTCATTATCCTTTATTTTGTCATTTTCATTAAAACTCAAAATTTTCAAGTTATTTTTATTAGTTTTCTCTTGAGTCTATAGGCCTTTTTCCAAAGAAGAATATATGGGGCATAAAATAATATTTTGCCTTTGGAGAAGACGATTCGAATTGTTTTACGAAATAATATTTTGCCTTTGGAGAAGACGATTCGAATTGTTTTATGAAAGAAATGTGGAAACGTCAGATGTTATGGTAATCATGTTTTAGAACTCGTTTAAAATTGTTTTGATAATGATTAAAAATGTTTTTTTTACTACGTTCAGGGAAAAAATCTTGAAAGTACATGCTTTTGTAGAAGGGAATTATTATTAACATTCTAAAAATCTCATTTTATATTTTAAATCTTCTATAATAGGAAAGAAAAATACACTAGTGATGAGTGTAGAGTGAGATTTTGTGCCAATAACATTTCCCTTGCAGAAATTACTTTCTAATCAACAATTTTACAATTTATAATGACACATAAATTCCACGAAAGAATTAGTGCACATACAATAACTTTTACATTATAAATTCATCGGAAACCCGTACATAAAAAATATTTTTCAAGTATTATATATATATTTTTGTATTTACAGTCCTCTGGATTTGACATTGTCTTCATGCCTCTGTCTACGTCTCTCGTTCTCTGTACAGTATAAAAATTTGTTTAAAATATACAAGTCTTTATAATTCGCTTGAGTTAATTAATTCAAGGGGCTTTTGATCCTTGCAAAAAAATTATCTTATAACTGTTCTTGGAAAAGGGGAAGCAGGATTAATTAGATTATCCAGTTCTAATCACGTCATTAATTAAGCTCAACTTTTGGACTTCATTATATGCTACCTTAGATGATCTCCAAAGGGGATGCTAAAATGACCACATCAGCAATAACAATAATAAAAAGATAATGCAAGTGTTTTCCAACCGATGTATCAATTCCTATGTGGTATGACATGGAATGTCAGCAAGAGAAGATGCTATCAAATTTGACAGCAGCTTAATTATTTAAATCAGGATTTGTTCCGCAGAACTGCAGCAGTCTTGACAATTTCTCCATCACCACTGCATATCAGCCAAAAAGAAAACTAATCTCAAAGTACTAAAAACCATCAAACTGAACATTGGATTACATCTTGCTGGAAGGAACTCCTAATCAAACAAGTTGAATCCCATATCGTTATCACTCTCTTCCTTGGGTTCTTCCTTCTTCTGTTATGCTGCAAGAGCAGCGGCAGCTGGGGCAGAGCCCCACCGACACTTGGAGCAGCAACGGCAACAGCAGCACTGCGGCTGCAAAACCTCAACACTTTATCATTTGTATTATGGGTGGTAGAGAGGTGAGGGAGACGAGATCTGAGAATGATGGGTGGTAGAGAGATGCACGGCTGCAAAACCTCAACACTATCGTCTAGGGTTTTAATCTAGTTCTAGTTATGAATAAATACTTTTCTCCATTATTAATTATTATTTTGTTTTAAAAATAATAATAAAAAATAAATAATAGTTTAAATTTGACATATTGGGTGGAGAATAAAATTTATAAAAAGATTAGAATGCCACATCAACCTTCAAATTTAAATTTTTTGTTTAAAATTTGACATCTCCTTTGAAGATAGTTTTACTTGCTACTTGAGGTTTTTTAAACAAAAGAGAACAAATTAAGTGGCTTTGGGTGCAACCAAATTTCAACTCTCGTGCTGGTTGTACTGATAGGTCCATCCTCTAGTCAAAAGGCATGGAGGAGAACCATAAATGTGCACGACTATCTTGTAACAACCTTGATATGTTCACTCATAAGGAGGAGATTTTAATATGACAGACCATACAATTACGTAATATTACAATTAAATAGATGCACGATATAGTTGATATATCATGATTTTATGTTATATAATACGAATGAACTAGTAATATTATATGACAGTTTGACAATTACGCTAAAAAAAACTTCTCATGCATAGCACCGTACGTTTAAAGGAATCGACGAGACTAATGCATATCATCAACTAACAAATTGGTACATACAAATCTTCTCATGCATAACAGCGTACGTTTAAAGGAATCGACGAGACTAATGCGTATCATCAACTAACAAATTGGTACATACAAATCATATTGAGACTGTCTTGTCATATTCTCAAACTTTTGTTCCGTTGGGTCCATGTTCTACGTCCTAGGATCAGCCATACTTACTGTTACAGCTACCAAGTTCAAACTACATAACTAAATAAATTAATGTGACGGTCTCAATATCTCATGCCATGTTGGTTGACTTTGAATATAATTTTTTTCAGAATTTATTCTTTTCTGGTATTTCTGGAAGCTGACTTCAAAGGAAAACACTCGACTGTCGACTCCATATTTATCTATCTTATCATGTTTAAATAAGATGGGGAAAATTGCATGCACGTTGAGCGAGAAAAGAAAAGAGATAAATGCATGGCCAATTGGACATGGAGAGTTTAGAAGATTAGGCTCTTCCATGTCTGTTGGTTGTGTGTGTGTGTCTATATATATAGCCTACAGTATAACGTATAATTTATAATTAAAAGATTAATATTTTTACATAAATAGCCAAATGCTTTTTATATTTAAACGTTGATATTCATGCTAAAATATTTGGTATAAAGAAAAGAAAAGAAAAGGGAAGAGAGAATAAAGATTAAAGAAAAGCTAAAACTGAAGAGATATTTAGACAAAATAACAATCTAGTGTGGCTCCTCATGATGGCCGTTGATACAGTTGCTACAAGATATATGAAATCTAATTAATTAACTAATTTTTAGGATTATTCTACTTATTTTGTGGAGGTGAGTCATAAGCTATTCCTTAATCTCATATAAAGTTTCGGATCCAGACTCTCTTCTTTCTCATTTTTCCTTCCCTCTAGTTTTATTTTATTTGAACTTTTACGATTAAGACACGATAATATCTTTTATTAGTTTTTTTATAAAGAAAGAAAGACAAAGAAAAAAGTGAGAGAAGAAGAAAGGTGAGAGGATTTGAAGGATAGACAGTAAGTTGAAAATCCTAATTCTCTCAATCTTTGTTAAAACTTAAAAGTGATGACAATATAGAGCAATGTTTAGCTACTCAAAAATGAGTAGGGGCTCTTAATCAAAATTCTTTGTGGCTAATTCACAGATCTTTGTGTTTATAATCAGAATCGTTTATAATACAAATTATTTTATAAAGATCATCTCTACAAAAAAAAAAAAATTAAAACCAAGGTCACTAAGTTGATCAACTGTAGTAAATATATAGACATATCATAATACTTTTACTATTTTCGTCTATTTGTTCTTAATAATATGATGACTAAACGACCTTAGTTTTAATTAAATTTTTGCATACATAATTTTT